ACCTTATTTAACATAAGGTCATGAAAATCTACTCCTATGGTTTTTTAAGTGTGCTTTTAGCTCTTATATTTAGGTCTACGATCCATTTTGTGTTTTTGTGTGTAGTGTGAGGAAAGGGGTCCAACTTTATTCTTTTGCATGTGGATATCCAGTTGTCCCAGGACCATTTGTTTGAAAAGACTGTTCTTTTTCCATTGAATTGTCTTGGCACCCTTGTCAAAAATCAACTGACTGTAAACGTAAGGAGTTTATTTCTGGACTCTCGATTCTACACCAGTGATTTATATGCCTCTCCCATGCTAGTACCACATTGTCTTAATTACTGTAGCTGTGTAGTAATTTAAATTTTGAAGTCAGGAAGTGTGAGTCCTCCAACTTTGTTCTTTTTCAGGATTGTTTTGGCTGCAGGATCCTTGCATTTCTATATGAATTTTAAGATCAGCTTTTTAGTTTCTGTAAACAAACCAGCAGGGATTTATAGCAATTGTGCTGAATCTATAGATCAGTTTGGGAGTATTATCCTCCTAAAAATGTTAAGTCTTCCAATCCGTGAACGTGAGGTATCTTTCCGTTTATTTAGATCTCTTTAATTTCTTTCAATAACGTTTACAGTTGTCAGTGTACAGATCTTGCCCTTCTTTTGTGAAAATTATTTCTAAGTGTTTATTCTTTTTGATGCTATTGCAAATAGAATAGTTTTCTTAATTTTATTTTCAGACTGCCCATTGTTAGAATATAGAATACAATTGATTTTTATGTATTTTATATATTTTATATCCTACAATCTTCTTGAGCTTGTGTTTTAGTTCTAATAGTTTTTGGTGGGACCTTCTGGATACAAAACCATGTCATCTGCAAATAGAGAGAGATTTACTTCTTTTCCAGTCTGCGTGCCTTTTATTTTCTTGCTGGTTGCCCTGGCTAGAATTTGTAGCACGGTGTTGAATAGAAGTGGTTCAAGTGGACATCCTTGTCTTGTTCCTGATCTTAGGGGGAAAGCGTGGGATCTTTGACAGTGAGTATTAGGTTAGCTGTAGGTTTTTCAGAGATGGTTTTTTGGGTTGAGAGAGTTCCCTTCTATTCCGAGTTTGTTGCCTTCTCTAATCATGGAAGGGCGTTGGATGCTTTTTGGATGCCATGTTAGATACCGTATCAGATGTTATCTCTTTGTTCTTGAAGTTTATCCACTATTTATCTTTTTCCTCCATTAATCCTTCTTGTCATATGGTGGGTTTTTCACTCTTAAAACTTACCTTTTTACCTCAGAGAAATTTTATTTTATTGTTCTTTGAGTATTTCTTCCCCGTTGGAAAGCAGAGATCATTTTGGAGCCACTGTGCCGTTCATGTTTCTTAACTTTTCTTTCGTGCTCTATTTGACTTTTTGTTTTATCTTCTGGGAGATTTTCTGGACATTGTCTTCCAGATTACTGATTTTGTGTTCAGCTATGTCCATGTTGTTATTTAGCTCATCTACTCAGTTTTCTAAATTTTGATAATCTTGTTTTATCAAGTTTATCTTTTATGTTCTTTGCTGCTTTTTCATTTTTTTGTAGTGTCCTTTGACCTTCTGTGAACGTATTTTATTTTTCAAGTTGTTTTTATTGAATGATCTGTTTTCTTTTGGATCAGATTTTGTTTTTTTCCTGTTGGCTCTTCCTCTTTCTGCTATTGGTTTTCTTGAAAATGTGTATTTAGCTTTAGTTGAACGAGTGTTAGGGGGATTAGTGTAGCTTATTGGCATGGATTTTTCTTTGCAGTAGCATAGTACTGCTCCCCAAACAGTCCTCCCCGCCGAACGGTGGGAGAGCTGACTGTGGTCTCTCTTGAAGTGTCTGGTAGACTCGAGACAGAAAGGCCAGCTCCTCTGCAGGTAGCGGAATGCAGAGGGCTTTGTTTTGATGGGCAGAAAGCTTTAATTTGGAAACATCCCTCTGAATTACATTCTAGCACCCTTAGTTTGCTGGAAGAAAACTTAGAATCAGAAATGAGCACATGTAAAGCATTTTAACAAAGCCCATATGCCAAAAATCTCAAAGTTTATAGAAGAGCCTGTTAGTCATCTGAATTATAAATATAGTTCAAACAGTCATATTTGTTTAGAAACTAATTGTATTTATTTTGGTTTTTATTTTTTTAGTCTCAGAATTTTAATGACTACTTTGTGGTCCAGTTGCAGCATGATGGTGTGTTTAGATAAGTGCCCAAATAAGGTGGTCAGGGAACAAAGAGAAGGGAACTTGCTCAGTCAACCAGGCCAGGCACAGAAGATTTACCAGAGGAAGTGACCCTTGAACTGCATCTCGACGGAGGACCAGGAGTTCACTGCACTGAAGAAGGCCGAGATTAGGATTTTTTGCTGGAGATAGAGCATGTACGATATTATAGAAGCTTGAGAGAACTCTTGGCACCAGGAGAAAAATATCTGATGTGGGAATTGGATGAAGAATAGAAATTATCAGGAGCTGAGGCTGTGAAAGTTTGTTGAAGCCAAATTGTGAAGGGCTTGAGTGCTTTGCTAAAGATTTTATCAAGATTTGAGGAAGGGAACCTATTGCAATAGTCTGGGTGAGAGCTGAGCAAGACTCAGGCAGGGGTTGGCCCGGTGACTCAGTGGTTAAGTGCGCATGTTCCGCTTCTCTGCAGCCCGGGGTTCGCCGATTCAGATCCCGGGTGTGGACATGGCACGGCTTGGCAAGCCATGCTGTGGTAGGCATCCCACATATAAAGTAGAGGAAGGTGGGTACGGATGTTAGCTCAGGGCCAGTCTTACTCAGCAAAAAGAGGAGGCTTGGCAGCAGATGTTAGCTCAGGGCTAATCTTCCTCAAAAAAAAGGAAAAGAAGACTGACAGGAAGGAAGAGGAGCTGTCTATACTCTCTGTTCCAATTTGTGTCCTCCCATTTGTGAAACTAATTTTAAAAAGAGAGGATCGTAAGAGCAATCTCACGATAACTGAAGGAGATGATGCTCGATACTCAAGTTTCATAGTGGTGACCCTTAATCAGTATGGAAAGGTTGGATTTGCTGCATTGTGGAAAGGGCAGAGAACACTCGCAGTTATTTGAGCTCTCCTAGACCTGGCTCTAATCGCAGCTCTGCCACTCACAGGCGGTGCATGCTGTTTAACCTCTTGGAGAGTGGTTTCTCATTTTTGACTTCTTTGATCCCCACATCAGTCTTCTCTCCTCCCCTAGTGATCTACACAGTCTCTACCTGGAATGTTCCTATCATCTCGTCTCTTTGACTGCGTATTTTCTTCAAATCTTAACTCATTTTCTCAAGGAATTCATCCCTGACTCTCTATATTAGGTTGTATACCCTGTTACATACTCTTACAGCATTTCTCCTAATTGTATTTTTGCATTTATTATATGATTGTTTATTTAACAGTTTCTTTCAACAAATATTTACGGAGTGCTTAATAAATCTTCTCTTGGATTGTAAGCTTTATTAAGACAGAGTAAAGAGTCTGTGAGTTGTGTTTTTCTTGGCCTTTGTGTCCCTAGCATCTAACACAGGTCTCAGACATAGAGAGTACTTGATGAGTAGTTGTCGAGTGAATGAAAATTTGGACATCGTAATACTGTCCACCTTACCAGGCTGTTGTGAGCCTTTAATATAATTATGTGTAAGGGACCGGCCTGATGGCGCAGTAGTTAAGTGCGCACGTTCTGCTTTGGCGGCCCAGGGCTTGCCAGTTCTGATCCCGGGTGTGGACGTGGCACCACTTGGCACGCCATGCTGTGGTAGGCGTCCCACATATAAAGTAGAGGGAGGTGGGCACGGACGTTAGCTCAGGGCCAGTCTTCCTCAGCCAAAAGAGGAGGATTGGCGGCAGATGTTAGCTCAGGGCTAATCTTCCTCAAAAAAAAAAAAAAAAAATATATATATAAAAATATATATATATATATTATGCGTATGAAGTTCTTAGCTTGCTTGTGGCCTGGTCTGAATAGTATCTGTGACTGTTAATGAGAGGAGACAGTGGTTGTTGAGAGTGGTTATCGTGGATGCAGATGGCCCTCAATTCTTGTTCTCTCACTTACTAGCTCTGTGATCCCGCATAGTTGCTTAATATCTCTGACTTGCATTTTTTATATATAAATAGAAAATAATAATAATCACCTTATAGGGTTTTGTAAGGATTACATGTGATCATGACAATGATGCATTTAGCTGACAGTAATTGCTCAATAGATGGTGGTTATAGCATTGTTAATATGTTGATGAATAATAAAAATAATTAAAGAATATATGGAAAGTATCAGAAAAAATTCACATATGTGGAAACACTGCATTCTCTGATGAGATAGTAGTACTGTATTTCCATTATCGTATAATCCTCAGAATATCCAATATTTCCTAATTATGTCTGTGATGGGTTGTACTGTGTTAGGTGCAGTCTAGTTTTTAAAAGGACTTTTGGGAGTATGATGATTGTATCTTCCTGAATAGTTGAATTATATTAAATTCTAGACCTTGTCAATTTAAAAATGCCTTAGAATATCCTATCAATTGTATTAAAGTCATAGTCAGCAACTGACAGTATTGGAAATCGACCTGGGTTTTTGGACCCCTGCGTGTTCATGGATTTAGGAGACTATTCTAAATAGTAGGTCACAGTTGTTTCTGACTGGAGTCAAAAGCATCCCCTGTGCATTGGGTGCTTTACCAGCCTTTTCTGACAAAAACGTAGTGAAATACAAGTGGAAAGGGCATATTATTACAGGAATAACTTTTAATTTTCTCTAATTTACGTATGTAAAAATTCATTTATAAGCACTTGATACTTTGTTTATTGGAACGTGGTCCAAGCCACTGTGTCTAGTCCTTGCTTCTCGTTTGAATTGTTTTGGTTTCATCTTGGCCACATGGCCCTGGCTTCTGACTTTTATCAAAAAGAGTTTGTTTTATGTTGAGTTAATCATTTACATTCACACATAGATTTGTGGAGAAAGATGCCAAACTTTCTTGTGATTGGTAATATACCTTTTTACAGGCTCAGCAAAACAGTCCCTCTTCTACGGGATCTGGCAACACAGAGCATTCCTGCAGCTCCCAAAAACAGATTTCCATCCAGCACAGACAGACCCAGGTAGGTCGCTGACCGATCAACAGAGGAAGAAAACATCTGCTTAGGAATAAACGCTAATCACATATGAGATCTATGAGTCCTCTCTTTGTCTTCCCTTTATTTCTCCAACTTCACCTCACTGTTTGTGTGTATTATATTCAGAACTTGCGTTATGAGTATTTGAAGTCTTTTGGAAGGTGCTTTAACTTTTCGAGGTGTCTCTTTACCTTTCTGGTGTATTGCAGTGGAAACCCTTATCCTGCAGCATGGTGTTGAGGAAAGAGCACTCACTTTGGAGACTCTAGGCTTGGGTTCAAATTCTGGCTCTCAACTTATGCTTTATCTTTTTGGGCCTCAGTTTTCTTGAGTACAAATCATCTGTAAAATGTGGTTGATTCTAATTATCTCAGTGTATGCAAACTGATTATTAGAACAGTGCTTACAGTAGGCTTCAGTGAATGCTAATTTCTCGCCTTATGAAAGTAGTTAATTTATTCCTTGTACCTGCTTATTTGGCAAGACCTAGCTAAACTTCTTTAAGATTTGGCACACCAACATAATTTCCTCCTTAAACAGTCTTCAGAAACTCTTTTTAATTTAGGGAATGTTCTGAATACTCAAAGATATCTGGAAAGGATAGTGGATATATCCTCCATTTTGTGGTGTTGAGCTAGTCATATAGTATGCTGGGTTTTCTCGAAGACTCTTGGCACTGCGTTGTCTTCAAGACAGGCTGCTTGGCACTTTGGGAGAATTTCTTAAATCTCAAGAGCTATACAACTCTCAGGAGAAGATTTTAATTTTATTTGAATTACTGGCTTTTGGACAGTTGAACAGACTTGGATAGCTGAGCCTTCAGATAACTTCCTCTCTCCCCTTGTGGTTGCTCTTTGTTTCCACTAGGTGGCGTGTTAGTTCTTTGTTGATTTGGGTCATCTCTCAAGTCCTTTTCTATTGTTAGTTTTATTTTTAAAGTAGTATGTTTCTGTATTGTTCAGTGTACAGTAGTTTGAGAATTCATATATTTGATTCCAGAGTTAACATGTTTTTGAAGTGCAGGTGTACCAGAATATAAGGGTTAAAGAATGGGATGAGGAAAGCAGATTTAATTTCTTGAGCCATGTGATTCCAGGCTATTTTCTTTAGCAAGTTCTTTTTTTCAGAAAAGTAATGAAAAAAATGTGATGACATGTAATATTTTGAGACTAATCCTAAGTTTGTTTTCTCTTTTTCTCTGTAGTCTGACCTCACAATAGAAAAAATATCTGCACTAGAAAACAATAAGAATTCTGACTTAGAGAAGAAGGAGGGAAGAATAGATGATTTGTTAAGAGTAAGTATTAAAATGTAGTAAGAGATTTTATAACAAGCACTGATTGATGTTATGTATATTTGGATTATGTGTCTATCATAGAGATAATTACTATAGCCAAATAACAAAGTTAAATAATAAACATTTGGATATTTTGCTTTAACCTGAGGGAATCTGAGTAGGGGCCAGGATCAAACCTACATTCTAAGCACTATCTTTAAGTTGGAAATCTTATACTGTAGAATTTTAATAATTAAATATATGCTAGAGAAATAAATGGAATCTTGTACTTCATCTGGAACTGTGGGAATAAGTATAAAATGTTATCTTCCCCTTCTGGAGAAGTTATTTTATTTAATTAATTAACTTATTTTTATTGTGTTTTCTCCCCCAATCCCCCTAGTACATAGCTGTGTATTTTTAGTTGTGGGTCCTTCCAGTTGTGGCATGTGGGATGCCGCCTCAGCAGGGCTTGATGAGTGGTGCCATGTCTGTGCCCAGGATCTGAACTGGCGAAACTCTGGGCCACTGAAGCGGAGTACTTGGCCACGGGGCTGGCCCCTGGAGAAGTTATTTTAATATTCTTGAATTTCTAAAACTATTTCACAAGTACTTTTCAGCCCTGGTTTTGCGTTTTGTATCTTTTACAACCTATTCATCTAAAAGTTTTTTTGTGCTTGCAAGAAAAACTTTAAAAATAGCTAATCTGGAATTAAAACGATACCTCTATAAAATATACCATGATAATTAACAAGCATATTTTTAATATGCAATTTGACATATTCATAACATTTTTTTAATGTTTGTTTTCTTGTTATAACAGCAATACATGCTCTTTATAACAAATTTAGAGAATAGTGAAAATATGACACCCATGATTCCATTAACTGAGATAAAACATTTGGTTTAAAACATTTCCTTCAGTATTTTTTTTGAATCATTTGTAGTATGTATATGTAAATACATGTATACATAAATATTACTGATTTATAAATTAAATTGGCTAACATTTTTATCTTCTCCAGTGATTTAGAAGGTGTCAGTTTGCTCTTTATTTGTACTAATGCAGTAGTTTTCAGACTGGCTCTGGTGGGACCCTGAAGTTTCTATAGAGGACACTCCAGGGCTCCCAAGACACAGCTTGGGGGGGATCTGCAGCCTTGCTTTTACCAGTTTTTCTTATTGGGTAAGACTTTGTTTGAATAAGGGGCTCTGTTTAAAGATAATAAAAATCACTGTATTTGTGATTATCTCCCCTCCAAAAAATTTTACCTATATTTCTGTGATTATTGAAGTATAGTATAAAATAGTGTATTTGACTCCCTCATATGTAAAACCTAGAATTTAGCACATATCTAAATTAAGCATCATCTTTATGTAAAATCTGATGTTTTTAGACTATTATTGTTAAATTATTGATTTTAATATATAAGAATAATTCTTATATTTACAAGCAGTTTTATGGCCAAATTTGCGTCTGTTACACATTATTTGTTAAACCGATTTCAAAGCTCATTGGCAGTCATTATTTTTTTTGAGGAAGATTAGCCCTGAGCTAACATCTGCTGTCAATCCTCCTCGTTTTGCTGAATAAGACTGGCCCTGAGCTAACATCCATGCCCGTCTTCCTCTATTTTATATGTGGGACTCCTGCCACAGCATGGCTTGATAAGCGGTGTGTAGGTCCCTCCAAAGGATCTGAACTGACAAACCTGTGGCCGCCAAAGCGGAGGGTGTGAATTTTAACTGCTATGCCACTGGGCCGGCGTTTTTTTTTAGAAGGATATGTCAGTGTTAAATTTTCTGTGTGAGGGCCGGCCCGGTTGCACAACAGTTAAGTTCGCACATTCTGCTATTTGGTGGCTTGGGGTTCACTGGTTCAGATCCTGGGTGCAGACATGGCACCGCTTGGCATGCCATGCTGTGGTAGGCATCCCACATATAAAGTAGAGGAAGATGGGCACGGATGTCAGCTCAGGGCCAGTCTTCCTCAGCAAAAAGAGGAGGCTTGGCAGCAAATGTTAGCTCAGGGCTCATCTTCCTCAAAAAAAAAAAAGAATTTCTGTGTGCTTGTAGAACTGAGAATTGTTTCTCTTCCTTTCCCATATAAAAGATAGCGCTGTGTATAAAATTTTTGTGTCATAACCTATTGCCCTTCTCTCACTTCCTTATCTAACACACACAAACCCCTTTTAAATTTTTCTAGCATGTAATGTTTCAAAGAAGGCATGACCAAAAGAACAAACATTGTAATCTCTTTTCCATGATGACTATAGGCACCCTTCCCCCTTTATTTTTGTATTCCAAAAATTATGCCAGGGTACATCTATATATGGGTCTCTATATTTTTATTCTGGAAATGTGTGATTATGCCTAATTTTTGCCTTTTTTCATCTTATGTTGGCGTCTTCCTTGGTTCCCAGCTTGGAATTCCGATCACTATCCTTTGTTTCTGTCATTTTACATCTCATGTAATATGCTTGCCCTTGTCTTCTGAATCTCATTAAATGTTAATTTTGTCTTCCGTATTTTCTGCTGTTTTACTGCACCTCATGTGAATTTTGATTCTATTATTTACATTTTTAATTTACATGTTTTTCTCTTATCTAATTTGCTTTCTTATCCCATCCTGTACATTCTTTATGGTTTTTGTCTCCTATTTGATGGATACCATGTCTTTTGGCCTTTTATGGAATGTGACAAGCAGTATTCTAAAATGTCCTTTTGATTTCTGTAGGGAGATCATTTTCATCGTTCTCAAGCTGATATTCCCTTTCCTTATTCAGAAATATTTTTCCTTGGGCCTGTTTTTTCGTTTGTTTCCTTTCCATCTTCTAGTGAGGAGAACTGCATTTAGACTTGGTACCTATCGTCCGTCTTTCCTTGTTAGCATATATGCTTGCTTGGAGTTGCTCTTATTCTTGTTTTTGTTTACTTGGATGCTGGTTGAATGGCCAGGATTTGTAAGTAGATCTATTGTGAGTTTAAAAAGCTCCTTTCCCAATTCCAGTACTGGCAGCTTTTTGTCTGGAGTGGCTCTGCTGGACCGGAAAAGGATCATGGGCTTTTCTTCCTTCCTAGCTTGACTCTGTTAAGATTGAGAAGATAGAGTATATGAAAAACTTAAATCCTAACTCTTTTTGGGTTCTATAAAATAGTCTGCTTTCACTTTCTAGGAAGCAATATGCTCCCTTTACTCACCGCTTCCCGCCTTCTACTCCCTTGTTCTCTGAAGGGTGTAGTCTTTCTTTGGATGTTGAGCAGTGCTAACGGGATGAATACATCACAAAGGAGGACACCTGCCATTTTTTCAAGTTGATGAGAACTTGTGTTTCTGATCTGGAGGGACAGGGGAGTGACCACTGGTCTTTCCATCCCCTTTCAGGCAGCCTTGGATTGCTGGTTGAGTTTTTCCCCTTTAGTAAGATGTTGGGAAAGGCTGCATCAGGAGCTGCTAGCCAGGTGCTATTTTAAACTTGAACACAAAATTGTTAGAGCTAGAAACCACAAAAGTTTAGGGTTCTTAAAATTTTAAATAAGCTACCAGAGATTGATTGATTGTCTACATTTGATTATGAATTTCAAGGGAATACTCATGTTCCAAAAGTAGATTGAATTTTTCCTAAACATTGCATAATCTTTGGTTTGCAGATTATTTAGTATGGATTAGATAGTCACATTTACCCAAACATGCTGGCACTTTGCCTTTGATAATGTGGTCCATAGAACTCTGTAAGAAGAACTAATAGGAAGACATTATACTTATTAAGAGAGTAGGAATTTGGGGATGGAACCTGTTGTACACTGGTCACTTTAAAAATGAAGCTGAAGTGGCTGGCCCTGTGGCCGAATGGTTACACTGCTCTGCTTTGGCAGCCCAGGTTTGTGCATTCAGATCCTGATGTGGAACTACTCCACTTATCAGCCATGCTGTAGAAGAATCCCACATACAAAGTAGAGGAAGATTGGCACAGCTGTTAGCTCAGGGCGAATCTTCCTCACAAAACAAAAAAAAGAAAAGAAAATGAAGCTGAAAAGTCTCAAAAATTGAGTGTGTTGTAATATCTTCCATTTGTGCTTTTTACTGTTTCAGAAACATTTGTATTGTTTGATTGGGAAATACTAGATTTTTTTTTTGAGGAAGATTAGCCCTGAACCAACATCCGTGCCCATCTTCCTCTATTTTATATGTGGGACGCCTACCACAGCATGGCTTGCCAAGTGGTGCCATGTCCTCACCCAAGATCCGAACCGGCAAACCCCAGGCCGCCGAAGTGGAACGTGCGCGCCTAACTGCTGCACCACCAGGCTGGACCACAGAGTTTTTTCTTTCTTTTTTTTTAAATAATGCAAGCAAGTTATTATAAAGTAGGTAGCATTTATTTGTCAACAGAGTAGAGATCTTTTGTTTAACACAAGAATAAATTCCGAAGTTGCAAGTCAAAATTGACCTTGGGTTAGTGGTTCTTTCCCTCTCTGTTATTGTAGGAGGCTTGAATCTTTCAAAGTATTCAGCCCATCCTTCTGACCACAGCTAAATTAACTGTGCATTTACATTCTGGCATTCTTGAACCAGGACCTTGTATTCAACTGTTTGTTAGTTCTTATTGCGGGCATGGGTGTGCCTGACTTCTCTGGTAAGAAGCATTTATGTAAATGCATGTCTCTTTTTCTTTGGAAACAAGAATAGAAAAACAAAGACCAACTGAACAAAAAGAACATTATGTGGTTTAAAAGAAATTCTGTAATTTTTTTGTAACTGCTTAATCACCCTTTGTAAGTATATAATCTATAAGTGCTGTAAAGTGCTTAATCACCCTGTTTGTGTTTTAAACATCTTATTCATTGTAGGTTTTTAAAAAAAATTTTGTGACCATTTAGGCATATGTGATATACTGGATTTGCCTATAACTGGCTTTTGGGAAGAGTAAAATATGATCAGTAGAAAAACATACCCACTTCTAGTAACAGAATTTATCTTTAATAAATAGATGATGTTTATTAAGATAAAATAAAGGAATGAAGTATTTATCTTTTTTTTTTTTTTACCTCTGAACCTTAATTTTGCTTTTGATTTAACAACAGGAATTATTTTTGGACTCCCTGAAAAACTGCTTTTGTATTAGTCTATCTTCCTTGGATCTAATTAAAAAATTTTTTTTCCATTGAAGGCCAACTGTGATTTGAGACGGCAGATTGATGAACAGCAAAAGATGCTAGAGAAATACAAAGAACGATTAAATCGATGTGTGACAATGAGCAAGAAACTCCTTATAGAAAAGGTGAGTGATTAATGGTGGCCTGAACTCTGTATACCAGGATGCTCAGAATGTGTCATTGTTGTGGCTCCTTACTCCTTACCTGAGTTGAGAGTATTTCAAAATAGGGCTTTTTTAGGAAGACTTCTTATAGTTCGACAATTAGAATTCTTATGTGGACACTGGACCAAGCATCCAGAGTGATAATTCGGGACATTCTTCCTGGTTGTACATTGCTTTGAGTTTGATGTTGGTTCAACAGGGACAGTGTGTTCTAGTTGAATTTGGCTGTGGCTCTCCTGAATTCTTACATTCATCCTATCAATTAAAGTGCGTATTCTATTACTATTACATTACACACATTTAGCAAGAGTTACATTTCCATTTCAGAGATGGTATTTGGTGTAAGTGTATATAATAACATGATAATTAAGTACTTTGTGTTTAAAAAACATTAAGTTGGCATATACTTGTATATGATTACTTTAATTGATTAGTTGCAACTTGCCTTTAATAGTTATTAGTAACTATTTCTTGAAAAAATTCTTTTAATTAAAGTATAGTTGACATACAATGTTGTATTAGTTTCAGGTGTACAACATAATGACTCAACATTTATATACATTATGAAATAATCACCCTGATAAGACTAGTAACCATCTGTTGTCATACAAAGTTATTACAATATTATTGATTACATCCCCGTGACTTACTTATTTTGTGACTGTGTGTCTGTACCTCTTAATCTCCTTCACCTGTTTCACTCTTCCTCCCACCCCGCTTCCCTCTGGCAACCACCAGTTTGTTCTCTGTATCTATGAGTCTGTTTCTATTTTGTTTTGTTTGCTCGTTTGTTTTGTTCTTTAGATTCCACATATAAGTGAAACCATACGGTATTCTTCTTTGTCTGTCTGACTTATGTCACTTAGCATAATACCTCCTAGATCCATCCTTGTTGTTGCAAAAGGCAGGATGTCCTGCTTTTTATGACTGAGTAGTATTCCATTGTATGTATATATACCACATCTTCTTTATCCATTCATCTACTGATGGACACTTAGGTTGTTTCCATATCATGGCTATTGTAAATAATGCTGCGATGAACATAGGGGTGCATATATCTTTTCAAATTAGTGTTTTCGTTTTCTTTGGATAAATACCCAGAAATGGAATTGCTGGATCATATAGTAGTTCTGTTTTTTTCTTTTCATGTTTTCTTTTGTTTTTTTAAAGATTTTATTTTTCCTTTTTCTCCGAAAGCTCCCCTGGCACATAGTTGTGTATTTTTTTTTTTTCATAAACTCAAATATATTTCAGGTGTTTAAAGAATTAAACATACCAAAGTCTGTGAAAGAACAAGAAGAAAATATTCATAGTTATATATAAAATTGGAGGATGGAAATTCCTTTCCAAGGATAAAACTATAAGTAGGTATACTAAAGAAATGAGTTAGAGTTGACTATTTCAAATCTTAAGATCTTTTAAGTAAAATATATCCAGATAAAATGAAAAGGGATGTGGTAAAATGAATAGAGGACAGATTAACAGCCATAATGAAAGCAGCATAGTTGTGTATTTTTAGCTGTGGGTCCTTCTAGTTGTGGCATGTGGGACACCACCCCAGCATGGCCTAATGAGTGGTGCCCTGTCCGAGCCCAGGATTCGAACTGGTGAAACCCTGGGCTGCTGAAGCAGAGTGAGAGAACTTAACCATTTGGCCACGGGGCCAGCCCCCAAGTATTTTTAATTTTTTGAGGAAACTCCGTACTGTTTTCCTTAGTAGTTGTACAAATTTGCATTCCTAACAGTGCGTTTAGGTTCCCGTTTCTTCACGTCCTTGCCAACACTTGTTATTTGTTGTCTTTTTGATGATAGCCATTCTGACAGGTGTGAGGTGATATCTCGTGGTTTTGATTTGCATTTCACTAATGTTTAGTGATGTTGAGCATCTTTTCATGTGTCCATTAGCCATGTGTATGTCATCTTTGGAAATATGTCTATTCAGGACCTCTGTCCATTTTTTAATCAGAATTTTTTTTCTTTTTCTATTTCTTTATATATTTTGATATTAACCCCTTATTGGAGATATCATTTGCAAATATATTCTCCCACTCAGTAGGTTGCCTTTTCCTTTTATTGACAGTTTCCTTCACTGTGCAAAAGCTTTTTAGTTTGAAGTAATCCTATTTGTTTATTTTTGCTTTTGTTGCCCTTGCCTGAGGAGACATATCTAAAAAAAATATTGCTAAGACCTATGTCTGAGTTTACTACTTATGTTTTCTTCTAGGATTTTCATGATTTTAAGTCTTACATTTAAGTCTTTATTCCATTTTGAGTTTATTTTTGTATATGGTGTAAGAAAGTGGTCCCGTTTCATTCTTTTGCATGGATCTGTCCAGTTTTCCCAGCGCCACTTATTGAAGAGACTGTCTTTTCCCCACTGTATATTCTTGCCTCCCCTGTTGTAGATTAATTGACCATAAAGGCGTGAGTTTATTTCTGAGCTCTCTAATCTCTTCCATTGATCTGTGTGTCTGTTTTTGCGCCAGTATCATACTGTTTTGATTACCGTAGCTTTGTAGTATAGTTTGAAATCAAGGAGTGTGATACCTCCAGCTTTGTTCTTAAGATTGCTTTGGCTATTCAGGGTGTTTTGTGGTTCCATACAAATTTTAGGATTATTTGGTTTAGTTCTGTGAAAAATGCCATTGGTGTTTTAATAGCAGTTGCATTGAATCTGTAGATTGCTTTGAATAGTATACTTTTTTTTTGAGGAAGATGAGCCCTGAGCTAACATCTGCTGCCAATCTTCCTCTTTTTGCTGAGGAAGACTGGTCCTGAGCTAACATCCATGCCTATCTTCCTCTACTTTATATGTGGGATGCCTACCACAGCATGGCTTGCCAAGCGGTGCCATGTCTGCATCTGGGATCTGAACTGGTAAACCCCAGGCCGCCAAAGTGGAATGAGTGAACTTAACTGCTGCACCACCGGGCTGGCCCTGGATAGTATACATTTTAACAATATTAATTCTTCTAGTCCATGAGCATGATACAGCTTTCTGTTTTATTTGTGTCATCTTCAGTTTCTTTCATCAGTGTCTTATAATTTCAGTGTATAGGTCTTTCACCTCTTTGGTTAAATTTATTCCCAGGTATTTTATTCTTTATGATGTAATTGTAATTGGAATTGTTTTCTTAGTTTCTCTTTCTGATAGTTTGTTGTTAGTGTATAGAAATGCAACTGATTTCTGTATAAGTATTTCTGTATATTTATTTTGTAATTACGTCCCCAGTACTTATTTATCTTATTCTGAAAGTTTTAAGATGGCAATCTTCCTAATGAAATTATTACAAGCTAGAGATTTGGGACAGATTGGTGATTTACTGTAGATTTGCTGAAAACTTTGGAATGCTGTTAAAAAGAGAGGGAATTGATAAAAGTGAAGTAGATTATTTTATTGATGTCAAAGATACTGAGGAGAACTTTGCTTTATCTTTTAATTCATTAATTTTTATAGAAAGGAAAACACTGTTTTCCATGACAAATAAGGTATATGTTAATATAGAGAATTTAAAGTTTTCAAGTGCTTCCTCAAGTCAGTGTCGATTCTGCCAGTTATACTAAACTTTGAACAGTATAATACAAAAAATAAACATAATGCTGTTTCTGAGTTCTCACAGGAAAATAAAATTATTTTCTATTTGTGTTTTTCTCCTAAGTCAAAACAAGAGAAGATGGCATGTAGAGATAAGAGCATGCAAGACCGCTTGAGATTGGGCCACTTTACCACTGTCCGACATGGGGCCTCTTTTACTGAACAATGGACAGATGGTTATGCTTTCCAGAACCTTATCAAGTAAGTCAATTGTGATGATTAAATTGAGAACTGAAAAATTGGTTTGGATTTTTTAGGTTTTTTGTAATTGTAATCATTAATAATCCTAGTAGTGGTAGTCAACTTTTCATTCAGTTTTAGTCACCACATGTGTAAAGAAATATAGAGAATGAGGTGATGTGCTGGAAAAAATGGCAATAGCAATCAGAGGAATAAAAACGAGTTCTTCATTAAAGCTTAAAAGAATCAGAGTTGTTGAAGCTAAGGAAGAAAAATACAGGACTTGATATCTTTTTAATTATGTAATGAATTTTCATGAGGAGTTGGCTAAGTATTTTTCTGGGTCTACAGAAAAGTGAAATGGGCAAGGACCTAAGGAAGAATTTCTTGAGTTAGGTATAAAACAAAAGGAAACCATGAAAGAATCTTATAGGACATGTTCCTGAGGCTCTTTAAAGAAATAGTTTCCAGTCATCAGAAACAGCCACTTCCTTGAAGGCAGGGCCTGAGCCAGTGACCAGGCTGGTGAGCAGCCCCACTGTCTGCCTAGCAGCAACTTGGAGTCTTGAACACTCTTTTGCTTTGTCATAACTTTAGTTTGAAACATTCAAGTATTTACTCCAAGGAGGGAATTAACGTTTAAAATCCTAAAATTCCAACTGTGTAAATATCTAATGTTAGCTTAGGACTTAAAAAAAATATCTTCAGGTTTTAGTACCTTTTGGTGCTATCTTCTTTACTTGTTTTGGCTTGTTGGATCATTTCCATCTGAGACTGAAAGGGGGGTAGGTACATTGTATTTTTAATCATGGGCTCTCAAATGTTTGATCTGTAGATCTCTGTGAGTTGGAGGGTTCCATTAACTGCCTTTCCTACCTTTTTTTTGTTTCTGAAATAACTTATTGAGCATTAATTGGAGACTGTCAGACTACTTTTGAATAATAATGAAACATAGATAAATAATAAATTTATACCTGAAAGAAAAGTACAGATATTGATACTATCAGTAATACTTGATTAAAACTAACCTGTGGATTACACATTAGTATCCATTGTTTTATATGTGATACATTAATCTCCAGCTTGGTTTAGGTGTGTTTTGCCTCAGGAGTGTACCTCGAGTTTGCATATTTTGGTGTGATAAGAGGCTGTCAAGTCATTACAGTACCCTGGAAGGAAAACAAAGCCTCGAGGGGCCGAGTGCCAGAGGCCTAGAGCAGCGTCCACTCTGAGCTCTAAGCACAGGCCGGCTGGTGACAGCGGAAGGTGCATCAGGGCGATGGAAATGGTGCTGCTGGAGCTTGGCACCCATTCCATAACAGCTTGACCAAGATGTGCGAATTGCCCTGGAAGTGCACACCATCTAGTTTTGTTAGAATGGGACCAGAAAATATAACACATACCCCATTACTGGACAAAGCCACCTAATGCTGAGACTGAGTCCCAGATGTGATAGTGACTCCTACTAGCCCTTGACAACGGTTACTCCCTAGATGGCCATCTTTAAAATGTCTAAAGGAGCTGGCCTGGTGGTGTAGTGGTTAAGTTTACATACTCTGCTTTGGTGGCCCAAGGTTCATGGGTTTGGATCCCGGGTGTGGACCTACACACCGCTCATCAAGCCATGCTGTGGCAGCATCGCACATACAAAATAGAGGAAGATTGGCACAGATGTTAGCAACAATCTTCCTCAAACAAAAAGAGGAAGATTGGGAACAGATGTTCACTCAGGGTCAGTCTTCCTCACCAAAAAATAAAAAAATAAAAAAAAATAAAATTAAATGTCTAAAGACTGGCTCAAAAAGATAGTGGGTTTGTATAGAGATGTAAAATGTAATTACTTTTAAGAAGTGATTACAGTTTTTGTTGATAGTAACAATATGTTATCTTTTTACTCTACAAGCAGCCCAGTACTGAGAAGGTTCTAGAAATCTTATACGGTTACAGTACAAAATGATCACTTTGCTGTAGAGACATCAGATCAGAGGAATTGGGACTATCTAAATGAGATCCCTAACCAGGATTCTTCCTCCCAAGTGGATAGCATTTTTTCATGTTTTTAAGTCACGTAAATTCTAGAATATCTTTCTCTTCTCTTGGGAAGCTGTTTCTGGCCAATGTTTGTTAATTATAGGTATTTCATTTTCTAAAGTTTGCTTTAATAAATTCCCTTTCTCAATTTTAATGCAGAAATTGAAATTCTGTAGTTGTAAAAGGCTTTATTTGATAGCCCTATGAATGACTGTTCTCTGTATGTGAGAAACTCCATGACACGTAGTTTGATGGACAGGGTAACTGAACACCAGGTGGCAGTACTAGGTTTTATGGGAAGAAACAAACCTCAAGACATTCAAACATTTCATCAGATAATCAAATTAGTCTCAACAGGAGCTTCAACGCAGTTCTTTGGTTCTCACTATGTTCCTTGGCTCTCTTTCAAGTGATCTTTATAAATTCCCTAAGACAGAACATTCACTATCTAATAGGCAAATCATATCAGATTTGTAATATTTTTTGGCCAGGTTAGTAATTTTTCTTTTCCAGAAGTGTGTTTGGACCTGTTGAAAACTGTGAAAACTTATTTTATAGTTCCAAGAAAGTAGTTCTGTGAAGTACTGTTGTTATTCAGCACGCTTTTTATTTAAACGTCTCAAAGTCTCAGTCAATGGCAAGGCACAAAAAAATGCTTTATTAAGATTTTGTTTATATTGAAATAGACAACATTAAAGTAATGGAATTTGACCTGATTACAAAATTGTGGTCGTTCAAGATGTGGATTATCAGAGGGAATAAATTAAACTTTATAGCATTGAAGTGCTAGTCCAGGTATTTATTCTGGTGTGTAAGGAATTAAAGAATCCCATAAAATGAGTTCTTGTGAACCATCTGATTCTCGATTGCATGATCCATAATGAGAGATAACTCTTTGTTGATTTTATAGATATCAGATCTCTCTTGGGTAGTCCATTCCATTTCACAGTTCCCAGTAGATACAGAACATATGAAATCCTGGGAATCTTTAAAAATTCTTATCTGGGATATTCAGATGCTATCTGTAGATCACTGCTAAAATTTTTTTGGTTAAAATGTCAGGAAAATATGAGCATCTGTTTTTTAATACCTCTTCTGCTAGTTAGGTATAGTATGGTTGGAGACTGGAATAAAGTTTTGCTTCTAAAGGTGCCTGCATTCATTTCCTAGGGCTACTCTAACAAAATACCATAAACTGAGTGGTTTAAAACAACATAAATTTATTCTTTGATGGTTCAGGACTAGAAATCTGAAATCAAAGTGTTGGCAGGATCAGACTCCCTTTGAAGCCTTCAGGGAGGATCCTCTAGTGTTCCATGGCTTGTGGCAGGATAGCTTCAATCTCTTCCTACATCTTCACATGGTGTTCCCCTGTGTGTCTCTGTGTCTTCTCTCTCCTTCTTTTAAGGATGCCAGTCATATTGCATTAAGGCCTACTTCAGTATAACCTCTTTTTAACTAATTATATCTTCAATGACCCTATTTCCAAAGGTCATAATCTGAGGTACTGGGGGTTAGGAGGTATTGGGAGTTAGGACTTTAACGTATCTTTTTTTTGTTTGTTTGTTTAAAGATTTTATTTTTTTTCCCTTTTTCTCCCCAAAGCCCCCCGGTACATAGTTGTACATTCTTTGTTGTGAGTCATTCTAGCTGTGGCATGTGGGACGCTGCCTCAGCGTGGCCTGACAAGCAGTGCCATGTCCGCGCCCAGGATTCGAACCAACAAAACACTGGGCGACCTGCAGCGGAGCAGGCGAACTCAACCACTCGGCCACAGGGCCAGCCCCTTAACATATCTTTGTGAGTGACACATTTTAACCTGTAATGGTGTCCAAGGCTGATTGTCTCGTGTTCTTATGTAAGCAATGGCTTTTTAAATTGGGTTATTTAGATTTGAGTGTGCAGGATTTATCAGCTCCTCAATACTTCTGTAAAAGATAGTAGAAATACTCTGTCCATGGGTGATGAAGGGTTAGTATTCTCTAAAATTATCCACTGCAAGAAATATTTAAGGAGCAACTGTATAAAAGGCACTGTCATACGTATTGGAGATATCAGGGTTGATAAGACACGGTTCTTTTTTTTTTTTTGGAGGAAGATGAGCCCTGAGCTAACATCTGCTGCCAATCTTCCTCTTCTTGTTGAGGAAGACTGGCCCTGAGCTAACATCCGCGCCCATCTTCCTCTACTTTATATGTGAGATGCCTGCCACAGCATGGCTTGCCATGCGGTGCCACGTCCATACCTGGGATCCAAACTGGCAAACCCCAGGCCGCCAAAGTGGAACGTGTGCACTTAACTGCTATGCCACCGGGCCGGCCCCAAGACATGGTTCTTATTCTAAGAGAAGTTACAGTTTATTGACATAATCCAGACTTTCTACCCACAAAATAAACCTAAATGAAGTGTCACTGATAAACTTCTTTGGATGACTTTTATTTATAAGTGTAAACCACTAAATAGTTTCAAGAACATCAAAAATTAATGTAGGGAGAAAAAGAATTAATGTAGGAATTCTTATATATGAGATCAATGTCGTATCAGTTTTCACGTCCAAACAACCTCTCATGTTCGGAACGTACAGTTTACGATTCCCCAGAGGTGTTTTGGCATCAAGGTGCCCTCTCTTTATGATTTATATGTGATGGCTGTGGGGTTCCTTTCTTGGTGAATCTGTGGAGATGAAATGTATGGATTCTCCCTGAAAACAGTGGAAAATCAGTTTTATTTTATGTTTAATAAAGGTGATTGCTAAAATCTCAATTTTCCAAAGCAGTTAGTTTTCAAGGACAAAGTGTTGTGTCACTTCACTAGCTCACTATAGTTTATAGTTGAAATATATATTGTATGGGTATCTCCAGAGCCTTCAGAGTGCCTTGCACTCATGGCCCCTGAAAGGGTAGAAATGAGCTAAAGATTTTTTTGATGGGGAAACCCAGTGTTTTGAGAAGGTCAGTGTTTTCCTCAAGGACATTCATTAAGTCAGAAGGAGGATTGTGATTTTACCTAAGGATTCTGTGTCTCGATCCAGAATTTTTTCAAGTCATGAATTACTCATATACATATATTTTGTAGGGAGAAGACATATCTCTAATGATAGTTAAAAGATTTTTTCAGAGAAGCAAAAAACTCTTGAATTAAAATTTCCATTTTGCTGTTAAATTGACATCTAATCAGTGACGCAGCTCATCTTGAAGCAAAGGGAATTTTATCATCACATAAATGGTTATTTATTTGTAATACTTTGATTAGGTTAACCTTGCTTACAGTATTGCCCTTATTAATATGGCAGCATAAATTGTACTGTGGGCATCTACCTGGAGGATAGTCTTGTTTTTCTGGTTGCCATTCTTCCAAGAAAGATAGGGACAGTAGTCCCTATCCCACACCCCTCCCCCCACCAGGGAGTACATTCCAAGACGCCCAATGGGTGCCTGAAACCATGGATAGTACTGAACACTATGTATGCTATGTTTTTTCCTATACATACATACCCATGGTGAAGTTTAATTTGTAAATTAGGCACAGTAAGAGATTAACAACAACTGATAATAAATAGAACCATTATAACAATATACTGTAGTAAGAGTTACCATAGATCTTAGCAACCTCAGCATATGATTTTTTTCTTTCCTTAGTAAGTTAAGAACTTTCACCTTTTCACTTAAAAGAAGCAGCTTACGGCTTCTCTTTGGCATATCTGAATTGCCAACATCACTTCTCCTGTGCTTTATGGCCATTATTAAGTAAAATAAGGGTTACTTGAACACAAGCACTGCTATACTGTGACAGGTGATCTGATAACCAAGATGGCTAGTTAAGTGACTAATGAATGGGTAGTGGGTACAGTGTGGATACCCTGAACAAAGGGAGGATTCACATTCTGGGTGGGATGGCGTTGGACTGTGCAAGATTTCATCCCACTATTCAGAACAGCAGGCAATTTAGAACTTACAAATTGTTTATTCCTAGTATTTTCCATTTAATATTTTCAGACCGAGGTTGACTGCAGGTAACTAAAACCACAGGAAGTGAAACCTCAAATAAGAGGGGGACTATTGTTTGCTGAATTTGGAAAAGGTCTAGAGACTGACAACTGCAGTGTTCAGGGAAGAGGGTAGAGTAGATTTCATCGGAGAATAGATTAAAAAAATTAGATTTTGTCATTCTGCGAAAATGAAGGTTGGATCAAGGAAAAGAGATGGGGTAAAAGCATGGTGGAGAGAAGGAGAAAGGAACTAGCATTTGACCGTCAACTATGATAGGTGATTTAAAGATTTGAGTCTGTTAAATACTTACTCCCGGAACTTGGTGTATTTTTATATACCAAGTCTGTAAACTTTACTATCTGTTAGGTGGTGGGCTACATGAGAGACAGCTGTTCCCTTCTATTGGTATTTGTATTGACTACTAATTTGTAAACTAGTTCATTATAGAAAAATTAGACATCTTATTAGGAAATTCTCTAATGGTACAGTCTTAGATAGCTAAAGAGTCTTTTTATATGTTTTTTATTAATTCATTTTATGTACTGTTTTCTAAAGACTTTTTCCTAGTTGCAGGGCTTCATTGTGCTTTCTCTGAATATATACTTTTTTTAAAAAAAACCTTAGTTTAACATCCTTCAATTTTGGTATCTTTCTAGATATAATTGGAGGAAACTTTAATCCAAAAAAATTAAAAAGGCACTTGGAACCTTTTTGGCTTTTTTTCTTATGTAAATACAGTTTTTTACTTTAATGGATTCATACCAGAGAAGTGTTAAAAAGGAATCCGAAAATTCTTCCTTTTGAGTCAGAAAATAAAGTCACAACAGAAATTTGATATTGTTCTTTCCAACCCACCTTCCTCCTCTGAGAATAATCATAACTAATGTCTGAAAGCACAGACTCATTCCAAAAAAACCTTTCTATCAGCAATTATTTGGCTCTTCCAACCTGAAGTTAAAATCAAATCTCTACTTGATTTAAAGGAGCTTATTTTTTCTGAAGTCTATCAGATTTGCAGATGACAGAGATATTTGTGTTTATTCTATAACCATGTTAAAAAATTTCTGACCCCTTCCTCTGTGCAACATCTTTTATATCTCTAGGCAACAGGAAAGGATAAATTCACAGAGGGAAGAGATAGAAAGACAACGGAAAATGTTAGCCAAGAGGAAACCTCCTGCCATGGGACAGGCCCCTCCAGCAACCAATGAGCAGAAACAGCGGAAGAGCAAGACCAACGGGGCTGAAAATGAAACGTATGTTCTTTATTGATGTGCACTGTGAGATACCACCCTCTTCCCCCAAAATACAAGTGTCCTATTGAATGCCACTGGAAGAAATGATAAATTATGGAGATTGCTAGAGCTTAAGCTTTCTATTTAGTTATATCAATGAATTTGCTCAACTTATATAAAAGCCGTATAAAATTAACTCATTTTCTTAGTCCTGATCTTATTTAGGGATTTTGAATGAGAGGAAGAAGTAATGTGACTTCACTTGACATCATGATCTTTGGCCACTCTTATAACTAATGTGATGTCAGTGTGGTATTCAAATGATGTAATTGCTTGTGTGTGTAGTTCTAGGTTATGGTACGTTGGTATCATCTTATGGGGATTATCTGGCTACTATTTCAGACTGAAGAATGCACAACTGAAGAATTCTGTTTGCTGGTCTAAAGAGCACTTAGTTAACAGTCACTGACTTAGGAGTAAGCTAAGAAAAATAGGTATTATTTTAAGAAAAGCATATTTTCCCAATAAGCCAAATCTTGACGTCACCAGTATTTTTTCCTGTTCTGAGGATCTAAGGAAAACACTAGTATCTTAAATTGCAGTGTAGTCATCTTTTTCACTGCCAGGCAACAATTATTATATAGCTGTCATGAATAGGAGGGGTAGAATATTGTGGGCACAGAAGCCTTCCTTTTCCACCCCAACCCCATGTCGGATTTCCCTAATCATCAAATTCTTGATCACTAAGAGAATCTTCCTCTAGGACAGGAATTGGCAAGCTTTTTCTGTAATGGGCTGGGTAGTAAATACTTTAGGCTTTGCAGGCCTCTGTTCCAACTACTCAGCTCTACAGCTGTAGCCTGAAAACAGCCACAGACCATACATAAATAAATGGGTGTGGCTGTGTTCCAATAAAACTTTATTTATTTATTTATTTATTTTTTAAAAGATTTTATCTTTTCCTTTTTCTCCCCAAAGCCCCCCAGTACATAGCTGTATATTCTTCGTTGTGGGTCCTTCTAGTTGTAGCATGTGGGACGCTGCCTCAGCGTGGTTTGATGAGCAGTGCCATGTCCGTGCCCAGGATTCGAACCAACGAAACACTGGGCCGCCTGCAGCGGAGCGCACAGACTTAACCACTCGGCCACGGGGCCAGCCCCTCCAATAAAACTTTATTGACAAAAATAAACTGTGAGCTGAATGGCCCACAGCCTGTAGTTTGCCAACTAGGCAGGAATTACCAGTTAGAATTGGCATGGGAAATAAAGCCTATATGTTACTTACCTATTTAAAATATTTCTTGTGCATACCCTGAACATATTTAAACCATCACCTCTGTCTTCAAGAGGCTTTCAAATTAAAAAGGAAAAAAAAGATCTACAGGTAATGGTGTAAGCAGTCTTTAAAGAATTGATGGTAGCCATTAAGTCAGTTTCTGAATTGGATGATTGAAATTTAAAATATTTTTTTTATAGAAGCAGTCATTGGTGGTATAATCAGTGTGTCTGTAGTGACTACATTGATTTTTCAAGGGAAAACAAAATTTTGTAAAGCTGTCATTGTGGAATTCTTTAATTGAAATTAAGTTTCAGGTCTAAAGATAGCCACAAATAAAAGATAATGATATTGTATAATTTATTGACTAATATGTCTTTTGCCTTTTATGTTTTCTATCAGTTCACAAAAACATATTAGCCCATAATCCACCTCAAGTGTAATAGTACTTGTATTACACTACTGTTAAAAGTCCATGACATCCTAGAAATATAGCTTTCTTCATTCCAGTGGAAAAGGTAGCTTAACACCCGTTCTCACCCCATACATACGTAATATGTTGGGGAGCTTTTTGCTTGACATTCATTTAGTAAGTCTGTGTTAAATGCTATTGTATGCTCAGCCCTCTTCTGGACACTGGGCATACAGAGCTAAAGGTTACAGCCCCAGCCTAGCAGTTCACAGTTTATTTAGGGGAAATGAACAGATGAATAAACTAATAATTACATTAAGTATAGTGATGAAAGTATGCACAGTGAATGAGCTTGGAAAACATCTTCATTCTTATAACTCCGAATATTTTAAAACTAGATTCTAAATAAAAATAATTTCTTTCAGAAAGTCCAAGTAGTAGCCTAAGATTTGAAAGATTCTCCAGGCAAGTGTTATACCCATTACTCTGATCATTGTCTTCTTTTGTTACTCTTGTATTTATTTTATTCCCTCCAGTATTACTTGAAAATTATTTAATGCTGGTGCATAAAACCGTTGGCTTAGGAATAATAAAGAAGGCATAAGTTGTTTCCTTGCCATAGAGCAATAATTAGAATTCAGTTTATGCCAGTAGTGTGTCAGTGAGCAGTTGCCATCTGGAGTCCTGTGTGAAATCCAAGCTGGAAGACCTTCAGTCCAGTTTTTAATTAGAGTATCTGTGACTTGGCTCATTCCTTTGGCCAGAAGCCAAAACAGTCCTCTGAAGTCTTGGAGTGAGCCACGTTGTGTTTTCCTCCTATTGAGCCTATTTCAGGCAGAGAGAATTCTTAACTGTGATTTTTCGTTTCTCTCTTTTTCTACTGGTGTGATATGGAGTAATGGATATAGGTGTTTCTACAAATACGAAGAGAGAGGTGTAATCGCCCTAGTGGGCGTCTTTCTTGCTCTTGTTATTCTTTTTATTTTCTTTTAGTCGGACCTCACAGGTTCTGTTTTGTAGCCCTTCCTGGTTGATAGGATAGCTGTTTCTTCTTTCTCCTGCTGTTTAGAATATATCTAAACAGTAACATCTAGTAAATCTAGAACTTTGAAGTATATGTGTATGCTTCTAGAAAGTGAAGAGAGTAAAGATGGAGGAATAAGGTATCACTTCTTACATGCTCATTCTTGCGATATGAGGATGCTTGGGGTAGGTGGAGCATGAGACAGGTGATTACCTATCCAGTCAGCCCTTTGAGAGTTGTGTATAAATAGCATTTTACAAATTATAGATTCTTTTCACATTTTCATTTAGGAGTCGCAGCAGTTTTGTTAAAATGAGTGTCATTGCTTGCTGCAGTTTTAGGAAACTGAGACTTAATAGGTTAAAGTTGCTTGCCCAATGTCACGTGACCTAATATGTACTTTGAGCCCAGTCCTCAGACTCTAAATTCTGGACTCTTTCCACTCTTTCTTCTCCTTGTTAATATAGTATCAAGGTCTAAGAGTTATAAAAACTAATAAAATCCATTGGCTTCTTATTTTGCCCTTTAAAAAAGAATTTAGGCATATAATTTTTGGCTGCTTCTCCTAGTGGATTTTCATCTGAGTAATGTACAGGACAAAGCTCATTTCATATATAATGTAAAACTATAGCTCACTTATTTTTCTCATTTTTAAAAAAATCAGATCTCTGGCTTTGAAGTCCTTTCACATCACATCTGATAAGTCACAGAAGTTTTCTCTTCTCAAAGGACTGCATGATAATCTGTCTTTTAGCCAGTTTAATGAGAGACTGGATATACTGTATAGCATGCTTTGGCATTTCTCTTTAAGTAGGCACAGTATGATTTCAAATAATTTGCTGAAATTTCTACCATTATTTTTCAGGTTAACGTTAGCAGAATACCATGAACAGGAAGAAATCTTCAAACTCAGATTAGGTCATCTTAAAAAGGTAAGCATAATGGGACAATCTGTCTGGAGAAACGCAATTTTTAGTTTGATGGTGAAGCTGTTTGGTTATTTAGGCAAATGTAGTAGTTTCAAGTAACTGCAGAAGTCTTGAGTAGTTACTCTCACTGTCACATCTCATGTTTGAGTGGTGGAATTCATGTCTTCCAATTTTTGAGTCGACTCTACTACTCCACCAAATGAGAGTACTTTATTCACCAAAGACGTGCCAGTGGATAATTCTGTATTCCTCAGAAGGCTTCACAAGTTTTTATCCTCATATTAAAAATTAAATGTACAATAAGAGCAGATGGTTCTAAAATTGATATTAAAACTTGTGATATTTTATATCACATAGTAGCTTTTATTTCTTGCCTAAAAATGGCAAAGAAGGTCTCGTACCAGTCATAGTGTAACACAAAGGCATCCACATAGAATTTATTGACGATGTTCACAGAGGCGTCTTAAATGTAGGTTGCTCATCTCTTAAATTCAGCAGCCCATACGTTTGTGGTAGGTGCTCCTTATGGTGGTGATGATGAAGAAGCAGTTAATAAACGCTATTGATGTTTGGTTTTTTTTCTCCTACTGGGTTCTCAGATCTTGTTAAATCAGTGGAACTTATGGCACCAAGTATAATCCATACTTACAAAAAGAATCAGAGAACTTGATTTTTGTCAAAAAAACAAAAAATAAAACAATTGCTGGCCTATATGTGTATACATAAAACTTTTCTGGAGACTTACACCAGAAACTTAACAGTGGTTGCCTCTGAGGAGTGGGCTTGGAGAGGAAGGGACAGGGGCTGGAGGACTTGCACTTTTCATGCTGTGCTCCTCTGTGTGGTTTGGATTTTATTATTTTTCCATGGATTTGTTTCTTATGATTAAAATTCTAGTTTTTAAAAAAATCTTTTTCAATGCAAAACATCTTTCTTTAGCTTTTCACAAGAGAAATGTCTGCTCTTGTTTTGGAAATGAGAATCTGAAAAGGTAGAGTTTCCTGTGTCCTGAGCTATTTCTTTCCTTTTCACTTTAGGAGGAAGCAGAGATCCAGGCAGAGCTGGAAAGGCTAGAAAGGGTTAGAAATCTACATATCAGGGAACTAAAAAGGATACATAATGAAGATAATTCACAGTAAGCAACTTGGGGGTATGTTGGGGTGGAGATTGTTGAGCGCTTTCTGACTGAATTGAATGGTCTGGAATGATGTTGTCGTTTAATATAAATCTGGTAATGAGTCCACGGTGTATTTAGCTCTGTTGTAGTGTGTAATACAGTTTTATGAACAAAATTATGATTTGTTTTAGTTTAAATATACATAAGTATATTAGATTTGTATATTAAATATATATCTATACATTTAGTATTTTTACACAAGTAGAAGTCACTAAAACAATATGGCTTCGCATTTGTAAATGGTTGGGATACACTGTATTCAGATTTACCTACAGAGTCTTAAGAAAAGGAAGCATGGGTGACAGTGTGGTATTGTGGAAAGATGATTGGGTTGAGATGACAGCCAGTTTGTTCTGAATGACCTTTAAGGGCTATTCAGGCCTTGGGATTTTAAGGCTCTCTTAAGTTCAGCACATTAATTGTAGATAAATGCCCACGTTTGTTTATAAGTCATTTAAGGGATTGAAACTGCAAAAAGTAGATTGCATTTGGGAAATGGCTTCTATCTGTAACCGGTTCTTTTCCACGTTTTTCTGACTCTGAAACATATTTTTTATTGACATAGCTACAGCTTAGATATTTTTGTTTGGCCAGTGTGAGCCATAGACTTTTCTTTCTGTCACGTGGCAGGCAATAGTAATTACCATTATTGAGCACTCTCTATGTGCCAGGCCTAGCAGATAAGTGCCCTTATGTTCTGAGTTTTAATCTTTATAAAAACCCAGTGGCGTAGGTCAACTTTATACATAGATCTGGAAACGGGCTTAGAGAAATTAAGTTCACTTGACCCAGGGACCCATAGCTAGTGTGACCAAACAAAGAGGTAAACTTGGGTCTGCCTGACTCCGAAGCTAACCACCATGCAATAATGTCTCTCTCCACAGGTGTGCCACTGTCTCAAAGTCAAGATAAAATAATTTCAGGATTGATAGTGGGGCAGTTTAAGATCAGGAACTAGGTAGAAATATTTTTTTTAAGTTATTTTTGCCAGAATCTCTCATTTCTTTGTCTTATTGTTAGAAAATGGCACAAGATGGAATCCTGTCTGGGGAGAACAGTTATATCATGAAGACTTTCTATCTTAAAGACAGATAACGAATGCACATAGAATGTGTGACTCACTTTCTAATCAAATCCATTTTTAAGGCCATGTAAAATGTCTTGTAATTTTAGTGCATGTAGTTTTGGAATGGTGGGAGCACGCGGGCTCTTGAATGGTTTGGAGAAACCAAGTAGCACAGTTTGAAAATCCCTCATTTAGTGTAGTCTCCTCTCCTTGTTTTATAGCAGGTCAGAAAGAGAGGGAGGTCCACAGAGGTCACAGGTCTAATTGTGGCTCTGCTGAGACTAGCACCTGTGTCTCATGGCTCTGCAGCTAATGCTGTGCATTGTAATTGCGCTGTTTCTTTTAACTATGCAGCTGTCTTTATGCTCAGAGTTAGCTATATTGGTGTTGATTGACAAACTGTTAGCAGCAGCTATAATCATGTGTATAACATGTTAGATATTCTTGGAATTTTGCAAATATGGAAGATGTGTAGTCCTTGACCTTAGGATGTTATTTATTCCCTGTTTCTGCAGATTTAAAGATCATCCGACGCTAAATGACAGATATTTGTTGTTACATCTTTTGGGTAGAGGAGGTTTCAGTGAAGTTTACAAGGTAAGTATGAGGAACTGCGTAGAAAGACTGAGAGTTAAAGAATCGGTTATTACCAACTTGGAGAACATTTAGAATAGTGATAACTGTGGATTGATATCTATTGGTTGAAATTCAAATACTTTAAGAACCTGTATCTTTGGGGGAACTGCTTCCAATAAACTTAAGTGACTAAGTGGATACAATAATTTACACTGTTTTCAAGTTTGAAAAATAAATAATTATAGATTTAAAAAACAGGAAGGAAAAGCAACACTCATTTATGGATAGTGGAATTATGGTGATTTTTATTCTGGCTTTGTACTTTATTGCTCATCTACATTTGCTAAAAATGAGTATGTCTTTTATTTTTATTAAAAATACTTTTTAGGGGGCCGGCCCGGTGGCACAGCGGTTAAGTTCACAGATTTCGTTTCTCAGTGGCCTGGGGTTCCCCAGTTCGGATCCCAGGTGCAGACATGGCACCTGCTTGGCAAAAGCCATGCTGTGGTAGGCATCCCACGTATAGAGTAGAGGAAGATGGGCATGGATGTTAGCTCAGGGCCAGTCTTCCTCAGCAAAAAGAGGAGGATTGACAGTAGTTAGCTCAGGGCTAATCTTCCTCAAAAAAAAAAATTTAATAAAGCTGCATTAAAGTTAGTTCTTATTTGGAAAACTTGCTTTTTGTTTAAAAAATGTTCTCATCTTCCAAGTCAGAGCATTTAGTAGCACTGGCATTCTGAAGGAGTGTCCTGGCTTAAGAGTGCTTCCACTGGGCTAGGAAAGTACAGACTGTTATGCCTTTAGTTGATTTTTACTAAATGAGGAATTCAGCTGGTTTTAAACATACCAGCAGATCTGTTATCACGTTCACTAGCCACAGCTTCCTTAAATTTCTCTAGATGTTCCTGGCACCTGGGTTTTAAATGCAGAATTGGTTTATTAAGGGTGTTTACTTCATGGCCCTGGGAATTCCCTCTTTTGTAAGGTACAGCCTTCACTGTTGTGGTTTATATTATGAATGTATGAATTTATGGGAAATATTTTTAGTAAAGTCGTTAGTATTCATTTCAGATAAGAACAATAAAAACTAGTTCTGTTTTCCTTTTTTAAATGTCAATTTTTTTATTGACATATACATAAAATTTACCATTTTAACCATTTTTAAGTATACAATCGAATAGCATTAAGTACATTCACAATGTTGTGCAACGATTGTTGCTATCCATTTCCAGAACTATAATACTGTTTTTGGTGTACTGCGGGGTTTGGTTTTCTAGTATTTTATTCATATTTTTTATCTGTTTTTCTAAGTGGGACTGGCCCATAGTCATCTTTTGTGTGCAAGCCGCATTGTCTAACTTTGATGTCATCATTATCCTAGAATGAGTTGTGAAATTTCTCTTTTCCTATGCCCTAGAATGCTTTGTATTACATGGGAACTGTTGGCTCCTTGAAAGTTTGTTAGAGCTGATTCATAAAATTGCCTGGGTAGGTGTCATTTTGGAGGAAAACTATTTGATCACCTTTTAAGTTCCTTCTGCAAATATTGATCTGTTCAAATTTTCTCCCCTTTCTTAAGTCAGTTTTGGTAATTTAATTTTCTGGAAAATCTTCTTTTTTTGAGTGGGGAGGAAGATTAGCTCTGAACTAACATCTGTGCCAGTCTACCTCTGTTTTGCATGTGAGATGCTGCCACAGCATGGCTTGATGAGCAGTGTGTAGGTCTGTGCCTGGGATCTGAACTGGTGAATGCTGGGCCACTGAAGTGGAGCATGTGAACTTAACTACTACTCCACCAGGCTGGTTCCGGGAACATCATCTGTTTTATCTTAATATAAAGATATCATCTACCTTAGTTACTTCTCTTTTCATTTGGAATGTTTATTTTTATATTTCTCAACTAATAGGCCAGAGATTAATCAATTTTCTTTTTTCTCTTAAGAATCAACTTTTTGTTTTGTCGACCATATCTACTGCTTGATTTGTTTTCTGTTTCATTAACTTTTGCTTTTAATCATTCCTTCCTTCTACTTTCTTTGCTTTTGTTTGTTCTCATTCTTGAATCATATCCTTAGTTTATTTTTTATTTTTGGTAATCTTTTTATCATGGTAAAAACACATAACATAAATTTAGTGTCATAACCATTTTTAAGTGTACAGTTCAGTAGTGTTAGGTGTATTCATGTTGTCGTGGAACAGATCTCCAGAACTGGTTCATCTTGCAAAATTGAACCTCTACCCATTACTCATCAGCTCTCCTTTTCCACCTCTCCCCAGTCCCTGGTAACCACCAGTCTACCTTCTATTTCTCTGACTTTGACTCCTTTAGATACCTCATATAAGTGGAATCATAGTATTTGTCTTTTTGTGACTAGCTTATTTCACTTGGCCTAATGTTCTCAAAGTTCGTCCATGTTGAAACATGTGACAGGATTTCTTTGTTCTTAAGGCTGAGTAATATTCCATTGTGTGTATACACTGCATTTTCTTTATCCGTTCATCTGTCACTGGACATCTGGGTTGCTAACTCCTCTTGCCTATTGTGAGTAGTGCTGCTTTGAACATGTGTGTGCAAACATCTCTTCGAGACCCTGCTTTCAGTTCTTTTGGCTCTATACCCAAAAGTGGGACTGTTCCTTTTTTAAAGACATAAAATTTATTCTTGATGCTTCCCAGTTACTCGTTAGTGAATTCTTTATCCTACTTTTTTCAAAAGTATTCTTCAAATATTTTAACATTTCTGAAATCTAGATGCTTCACAAGGATGTATACATTTAATATAGTTATTCTTTTGCTGTTCTCCACTCTCCAAGTCAGTGGAGGATCACAGTGTGTTGGATTCAGAAATATGGTATGGTAGTTAGAGAAAATGACACTTGTAGTATCATTAGTGCTCTTACAGATTAGGTGGCGTTTAATTTGGCTTTTTATTTAAACATTGGCACCTGAGCTAACATCTGTTGCCAGTCTTTTTTATTTTTCCTCCTTCTCCCCAAAGCCCCCTAGTACATAGTTGTCTATTCTAGTTGTAGGTCCTTCTGGTTGTGCTCTGTGGGACGCCACCTCAGCATGGCTTGATGAGCAGTGCCATGTCCGTGGCCAGGATTTGAACCGATGAAACCCTGGGCCACCAAAGCGGAGCATGCAACTTAACCCCTCAGCCACAGGGCTGGCCCCTAATTTGGCTTATAATGGCTTGAAATGGTTTTCTACTGTAAAGGCGTTGATGATACACATGCTTGCAGGTAGACTTCAGACTCTGTAAGAAAAACAGAGATCAGAAGTTTCCATTTCTGTGAAATAAGATATTCTGTTTGAATTGAGTGGTTTTATATTTTAAAAAATACTGGTATAAATTAGAAGTTTCTTTTATAAGCAACCCTCTCTTGCATGCAGTGCTTTCCTAGAGGTGGCTTACATTTTAAAAAATCTGTAGAACAGTAATTACCACTATTTGCAGACTGTATATCCTGTGCCTATTGCCTCATCTGTTCGTACATTTGTGGAAACTGGCAGATGGGCGGTAACAGTGTTGGAACTGAAGTAGTAAGTTTTTAATCTGAACTTTAAAAGCTAAGAAAAACTATTCCTTCTAAAGGAATTCCTCAATAAATTCTCTTGTATAGGGGAAATCTCCTGATGTATTGAAATGCTCCATACTTTTATCAAATTGTGATTTACGCCCAGCATCGTCAAGAGCCGTCTGGTACTGTTTTGAACCCTATGATATAGCTCTACCTAGCTGAGGTGGGACATTGGCGGTCTTTGGAGAAAGCGTCGTCTTCTCTTTGGACGGTGCTGGAGAAGTGACTTGATGTGACTAACTTCAGAAATTGTTGAAATCAAAAAGTGCTTTTTATTTACTCAGCATATAGGGATGGGACTAAAGGCAGGGCTGTTATTTGTTTTTGTTCCTGTTTTTATTTTAATAAACACAATATAACGTTACAAGGCTGTTTTCTAAACAGACATGGCAGAGAGGTGTATCCTGAGGGGTTATTTGTCCAGGAGGCAGACAGCGTGTGTCCCCAGCATTTGTGGCAGGATGTGCTGTTGAAGCATGTCACATCCCACTGTCAGCCGAGGGGCGAGAGACAGCCTGAGGGAGAAAGGCCCCAAAGAGGACAGATGATGTCCAGAAAGAGAATTGTTAGGAAGTGACTGTTAAGGCATGGGCTGTCTTTCTGTTTGTGGTATCTGCTTGGTTTTATTTTCTAAACCCCTTGGTGCCAGTATGTCTGGAGACTTCTAAATTATCTGATCACAAGTTTCAAGAAGATGGTTACAACTCTGAAGCAAGTGTGTGCTGTGTTGTCGTCTGCTGCTGTTTTTATTGAATAATGTGTTTTGGACTCTGGGTATTTTGATCTCTTAAATAGAAGCTTTAAGTCAGTTGCCTGTAATTTTTGTTATCATTTATTCAGAAAATTTATTCCTTTTCTTTATAGGCATTTGATTTAACAGAACAAAGATATGTAGCTGTGAAAATTCACCAGTTAAATAAAAACTGGAGAGATGAGAAAAAGGAGAATTACCACAAGTAAGTGATACTAGAGTGTCTGATTCTTCAAAATTTAGTAACAATAACTGTAGTTTGAGCACTGTGTTGAGCTTTACATGCATTGTTGTTGTTTCATTTGATCCTCATAACTGTCCTAGGAGGGTGAACAAATTTTCCATCTAACTGATGAGGAAACTGGTGCTTATGGAATTTGAGTAGTGGTTAAGAAATGGCTGAGCTGATATTTAAATCCAGACTTCCCTTAGTCCAGAGCCCGTGCTCTTAGCCTCTCCTTCCATTGTGTCTCTAAAATTAGCTCCAACAAACAAGTAAAGCCTCAAAAATCATTGTTATTCATCTCTAGAAGCCAGCTGAGAGCGTCCTTTAGTGGTCTGGGGTCCCTGGGGAGCTTCGGATGGGACTTTTTCTTCTGCTTCAGTCATTTCAGTATGGAGGAGATGGTGGGGGGGGGGGCACCTGATATTCCCTGTTGGTACTTGTTTGACTTGTTCAGCTTCAAAGTTTGCTCATGTCAAAGTTTTCAGTTTTAGGTGTCCCACTTACTGTGCTTGCCTCTCTTCAGAATGTCATGTGGCAGCAGCCCTCATCTGTACTTGGGGTGGGGGGTGGGCGAATGACTTCTTCAGAATGAATAGTTATTACGTGTACAGGTGTGAATTTCTTTGTTCTTCTAGTGTCAGGTTTGCCTGTCCCATGTCCTGTCCCGTACACCCCCCCTTTTCGAACACTGGAGTTCATTGCTCATTTGCTTTGGAGGCCATGCAGACCTAATTTGCTGTTAGGATCCCCACTGAGCTTAATATTGTTTCCTTATTGTAGGTAAAAGTACTGAATTAGACATGTCCTACCCCTGAAAGGAGGAGACAGCCCATTTTGATATAAACAGCCTGTCTCCTTTCTATAACAGCAATTTTATTTTATTCTTAGAAACTAGGACTTTGGAGGGAAAAAAGCAGTGGACTTTGAAGTACCTTTAGTTGACTTCTAAATCTCAAGGGGGCAAATAAAGCATTTCTACATCATCAACCAATTCTTGGGACACAGACCAAGGCACCTCTTGCTTTATCCCTGTTGTTCATCAGGGTCCCAGGAACTCTTCCTATTCCATGCAGATTGACAGTGGTGCTCAGCACTGGAGAAGAGAAGGTTCCTGTGGCATTAAGAGAAGCAGGGCTTAGCAGAGGTGGCAAAAGGGATGATAGGTGATTTATGCATGGCACCCTGCAATGTGTATCTTACGTGACAGGCAGCTGCAGTCCAGATGCTTCTGAGGAGCAGTTACATTATTATAAGTACATTCCAGTCACTTGACGTGCAGGGACGAATGGCACGCTGCAGTGAGTGCCAGAAGCACTTCAGAGAAGGAAACCACATGTTGTTCTGACCAGCTATAAAGGAGAAATGTTTCCATCATATTGAGACTCTCAGAGTGCCTCAGGGTGTTGGAACAGTATATGCTTCTCTTCAAAAATGCCCTCTAGCTCTCCTTGGAGCCTGTTCTGTATCTTATGTGTGCAGAGACCACCCTATATCAGTTGACTCTACTAGGGATCAGCCTTGGGCAGCCTTGAGAAAATAGTTCCCACCCCAGGGTTTATACGTATTTTGCCTAGTCTCAGTATCCAGCTTTTAGACTGACCTTAATCAGAACTCACGTTGAATACTGTAGTTACTGCAGGTGAGTGTTCTGCTCACTTTAGCCTTTTGAAATAGGGAGAGATTGAAGCCGGGACCATGTACCTCCTTGATGCATTTGGCAAGCAGTTTGAGTCCTCATGGGTATGGATTGGGTGTCTTTCTTGCATTTCTCTACTATACAGAGTCATAGAGCAAGTGAAGGGAACTGTCTCATATTTTCTGAGTCTGTCGGTCCAGCTCCAGGCTCACAATGGTGCCTTGCTACTCTGTTTCCTCAGCAGAGGTGGGAATCATGACACCTGAGCACCTTCTGTGGAGCCATCTGGGCAGGGGCCATCTCCCAGTTGACAGACATACTGGGGAGAGGGTATGCAGAGTTCTGTGAACTCCATTCATCCTTGAGGGGAAATTCTTAAGCCCTTCTACCCTTCTTTGAAAGATTTTGCTTGTTAAGTGATATGAAATCATATTGGTGGATTTCAAAGCACAGGTAGTAGTGGAAGTCCTTTGAATGTAAGGGAGGCTTATATCAAGCACATAACAGATTTTAGAAAGTACTTTAAAAATGCAGTATTAAACTAAAAAGTAGTACACTTTAGTGCTGTGGTAACATAGTAAAATATGAAAGTACTGCTATTGCCCTGCAGAGTAAGGTCTTTTGATTGTTTTCCCCTTTATGGGGGTGACTTCTCAGTATCTGGAATCAAGACATTTATTTGGGTAAAAAGGAAGCAAAAACTCAAAGAAAATAAAAGGTGGTTGTTTTGTTTCATTTTTTTGAGTTCTGTTTTGCATCACCTTTCCTCTCTAGTTTCCCCCACAAAGAAACAAAAAGTAAACTGATTGTTTTACTTTTGCGTTACTAAAGCATTAATGGTGTTACTAGATTTCTTTGACTCCCCAATGTAAGATATTGAAACTCTATATAGGAAAAATCTCATATAAAGCTATCCTCAGAAATAATTTTATCTGAATTAGTTAGTAAACTCTTTCAAGATACTCTTCTAATGTTCTAGGATAAAGTCATTTTGAAAGTCTAAATATATATCCTCTTATAAGAGAGTAAAAGACTAACACTTTAGTGGATAAGTTTCTTCTGGCTCCTTATTGAAGTTTCTGTGTTTATGATGCATTAATTCCTTGCATGCTAAGTTGAAAGTTGAACATAGGAGGGACGTGGCAGAGCCACTGCCTTGCCTGATGAAGCACAGGAAGTGGGCTTAGAGCCTGACATGGCATCGAGGGAGTACTTTCAGTGACACACAACAAATTCCCTTAGTCAGCAAGGACTTTGAATGACACTTCCTTTGATTCTTAATTCTTACCTCCTTTGTTTCCTTCTATTTTCTATACCGTGAAAGAGAAATTGATCTCTACTCTGAAATACACAAAATCAAAAAGTTAAAACAAAAGGGCAGAGAACTATAGATCTACAGCATGCTGAGATAAGAAATGACTTGAGGGGCTGGCCCCATGGCCGAGTGGGTAAGTTCGCGCGCTCCGCTGCAGGCGGCCCAGTGTTTCGTTGGTTCGGATCCTGGGCACGGACATGGCACTGCTCATCAAACCACACTGAGGCAGCGTCCCACATGCCACAACTAGAAGGACCCACAACGAAGAATATACAACCATGTACCGGGGGGGCTTTGGGGAGAAAAAGGAAAAAAATAAAATCTTAAAAAAAAAAGAAAAGAAAAGACTAACTTGAACAGTTATATATTTAGTTCATAAGTTTCTAAACTTTTTTTTTTTTTTTTTTTGGTGAGGAAGATTGGTCTTGAGCTAACATCCATTGCTAGACTTCCTCTTTTTGCTTGAGGTAGATTGTTGCTGAGCTAACATCTGTGTCAGTCTTCCTCTATTTTATGTGGGATGCTGCCACAGTGTGGCTTGATAAGTGGTGAAAGGTTTGTGCCTGGGATCCAAACCTGCAAAACCCAAGGCTACTGAAGCAGAGCATGCAAACCACTATGCCACCAGGCCGGCCCTAAACTTTCTTTTTTTTTTAAAACAGCATCACCTTTATGTTACCAAATGAAATATTCCATGGAATCTTGATATATGAAAAAGAACAAGTGTGGAGCTGCTTTGGTGGAATGAGGGGTTGGGCCAGAACTGCATTTGCTCAGCATCTCCACAGGGGCTCTGGAGGCATCTGTCTCCTGGGAGTGCCTTTTAAACTGTCCAATCCTCTGCACTGATGGTGAAGCCCAGAGGGGTGGCGTCATGGAACTCGGATTCTCTGGAAGCCAGGTTGATTGGTCCCAGTGTAGTGTGTGTTCTGTCACTGCTCTGCCTAAGTGCTGGCAAGTCTTGTCTTTTCAGAAAGACATAAAGATGATGAAATGAAGCATCAGAAGAAGCAAAAACTGCCAAAAGTAGCAGCTTGAAGAATGAGCCTAGTCAGAAGTTTCAATTGAGGGAAAAACATATTTAGTTACTTTTAGGTTCCTATTCCTTCCCTAACTGTCTCCTCGGCTTTCTTTAGTTGAGTACTTTCTGTGTATTTTTGTTGTGCTGGGATATACCGATTTCAGAAAACATCACTGTTTTTTTAGTTTTATTTTACTATTCTGTGGAAAGTTTCTCTTTTCTGACTCTTGCCTTAACAAAATACCCCAAACTAAATTGTGCTAGATTACTTAAAATAGTTTCCTTTTGCTCTCTTTGTAAATAAGAACTAAATACTTTAAAAATTATTGGTAATTATAATGTATAAACATGTTCTATTATCCTTTTAAAGTCAGTGTATGAATATATCAGATTATATTTTTGTTCCTCATCTTATCAAATGATCTTAAATTGGAAAAGTACTAAAAAAAAATGTTAACACATGTATGTAAATTCTTGTTCTAAGAAAACTGGAGTTTCCGTGAGTTCAAATTTTCTATGAATTTCGCATTTTCTTTAAAGAAAGTCAAGCTGATAGCCCTTTAAATTCTTTTTGCAAGGAGTAGGATTTTAGAGCAAACAAATACAGAGCACTGCCAATTACCGAACTGGTGATCCTTTCACCCGAGTTTACGTGCTGTAATTGATGTCCTTGATGTAACCGTGGGATAGAAACATTTGTAGATATGAAGCATCAGCTTTAGAGGAGAGAAAAAACACTGTGTTTATGATCTTTATAGCTCTGTTATTTGGGTATAAATATAAAAGAGGTCAGATTGTCATAGAATGAACTTGAAAGAGAGAAAAGGTTATCATCCATTCATTCAAGAAATATTTGAGCACCTGCTATTTTCTCAACAGCTTGGTAGATAGTAGTAGAGAAAATAGGATGAGGAAAGATAAGGGATCTGAATGGAATGAATAGGTGGAAAGAAGGGAGAAATAAGAGAATATTTAGGAATATCCTGGAAGAGTTCTCAGAGACAGGCTAACATTCAAAATGTTAATTTTCCATTTTGTTTACAGGCATGCATGTAGGGAATACCGGATTCACAAAGAACTGGATCATCCCAGAATAGTTAAGCTGTATGATTACTTTTCACTGGACACTGACTCGTAAGTGCTCTGCCATTTTAGCTCAGCAGTTAATATTATTTTCTTGCAGGATGTTGACTACTCATCGAATAGAGTTTAAATCTGTGTCCAGGAAATATTCTGCTGGGGAACCAAATATATGTATTTATGGGCAAACTATCATCTGTGAATTCAGATAGGGCCCAGTAAGACATCTCGTGGCCAGAGGACATGTGTGGTTGTGTGCTGGTGAATGTTTAACAACCAGCTTGGTGGGGAGAAGGATAGGGCTAATTTGTAGTATTTGCCAATTTTTGTGGTGTAAATACTCTCAACGTGTCCAATTTCAAGCCACCAGCTTAAAAAAACAAACCCAGCTTTGAGATATAAGTTACATACCATATAGTTCACCCGTTTAAAGTATAATGGGTTTTAGTATATTCACAGATAGGTGAAACCATCACCATAGTCAATTTTAGAATGTTTTCACCACCTCAAGAAAAAAAAACCCATACCTTTTGCTATCGCCCCTTGTTCTTCCTCCTCCCACCCCAGCCCTAAACAACCACTGATTTACTTTTTCCCTCTATAGATTTCCTATTCTGGACTTTCTTGTGAATGGATCATATAGTGTGTGGACTTTGTGACTGGCTTCTTTCACTTAGCAAGGTTCATGCTTATTGTAGCATGTATCAGTACTTACTTCCTTTTTATGACCAAATATATTCCGTTGTATGGATACACTACCTTTTGTTTATCCATTCATCCTACCAACAGTTTAATAACCAGCTCACAAAATTTATCAGCTCTTGGTAACTGGCATAATTGGTGCCAGCATAACACTGACATGCACCAGTGAGTGTGGACTGTCTAAGAGAGTCTCTGCCCCACCCTGGAGACTCTGATGAACACTGATGGGCCTTTTAAAGCAGTACCAGCAATTTGCTTTTGTCATAGAATGAGAATGAACGTGGCACAAATGAAGGCATAGTTCGATGCTGCATGTTAAAATAAGGTTCCTAGGCTTACAGGATGTTAGAACTGGAAGGGATCTCAGTCTAGCCTTCTCATTTTATAGGTTTTGGGGACCAGAGAAGTTAAATGCCTTTTCTGAAATCTTTAATAATCTTAGGCTTTGTTGTATTTCATTACCTGGAATAGTCAGGCTCTAGCACCTCTGGGTTTATCTAGGAGTTTAGAGAGATTTCAGCATTTGGAAACGTTTTCTCTGTAGGAGTCTGAACTGAGTTTGGAGAACATACCCTAGGACTGGCTTGCAAGTGTTCTTCTTAGCCTCCCGGGGTGATTCCAGGATTTTTGGCCGCTTCCAGACAGCAGCTGTCTCGGAGATTGCTACGCAGAGAACCGTAAATGCTACACATTTAGAAATGACCCCAAAAGGAGACCATAATTCCCTTTGGAAACATGATCTGTCCCTTCTTCCATCTGCTCAGGGATTTCTCCTTTCCAGTAGAGTGGCCCTTATACCAGGTATAGCCATCTGTTTTTAGCATGGGGGTGGAATTCAGAAAAATATCTAGTTAGAGAGCAGGTCTTCACAGGGTGACTTTACTGTTTTCTTTGAGTAAATTCTTTGACTACTAGGTAGACAACCCCGACTCCCCCAAAATGTAAGTACCAAAACCGTTTCAAAGATAAATATAATGGCTTGGAGTGTCTGCTGTTTTGAGTCATATACATACTTTTAGCTATCTGAGAAATTGAGCTGATTCTTTGCTATTCTTGAGTTGTTTACTTTGATCTTCCTATTGTGTTTATGATGAATTTTCACCAAAAATAAGTCAGACCATCATTTTAAAAAGTCTTCTGAGAGTTTCATGGATATTGAAAGTTAGATTTTATTTTCAACTTGCACTGGCTCAAAGAATAAATCCACTAAGCATGAGAGTCTGTATCTCAGGCTTCAGGGTCTCAGATCAGAAAACCTGTCATTTTTCCAACATTTATTCCCAAATAGGGTGCTACCGTGCCTTTTGTATGTTTCCTAAGAAGCATAAGCTGTTGTTCAGTTTTGGACCCCACAGGACTGGGCACGTCCACATTTCATTGCACTGCCTTTTGAAGGCAGCAAATTGCCCAGAGGCCCATTGTGCTAGTCCTGAGCCTGTTTCCTCTCGAGTCTGCTCCTCACTGTCCCCTGTTAATGCATCTTAGGTAAGCTCACCCTTGTAGGCTGTGTTTACCAGGGTCCTGTGTCAGTTGTTCAGCTGTGTTCAGCCACTGGGGAGACAGAAATGGTTGTGGGTGGAGACCCTCCCCTCCCTCCCCCCGCAACTGTGGTTCCAGTTACCCTCAGTGACCCTGGGTTCTGGTTGCACCATCTCCTCCCTCTGGCCCTCTGGCCTTAGGGTGCTAATGACTTCCTGCTCTAGATGATCTCTGGGGTATCTCACTGGCCAGTTTGTCTTCTCAGCTCTTCCATCATCTCTGTGATCAGTTTCCTGAATTAAAGCCCCTCTGTTTTAAATATTCAAGTGGTTTTTGTTTCCTGGCTAGACCCTGAGTGATACACCTGCATTGTCACAGCTTGGAATAGTTTAAAAGGTATTCATCTCTCAGGAATACTCAAACAGTTCAGGAAGCCTTACTTAAGTTTATAACTGCCTTGGAAGATAAACACATATAACCCTTAATGCCACGAATAGTATGTAGTTTTAATTTTGGGTCTGTATGATGCATTGATATAAGTGAAGGGAAAAAACCCATACTGTGTCGAAACACATTTGTTAGAACCACAGATACTGTACTTTTAAAAGCTCTTTTGTACCTTGTGTTTAGTAAAGAGAAATTGTAGTACAGTATTTTGCCAAACTGCCAAGAGATGTGGTGTGCGACTAGTCTTTGGGACCTGGGCAAACCCTAGATCTTCCTCACTGTCAGCACTCAGGCTCATAGAAAATGTTTGCAGTGAGGATGGTGTCCTTGATCACAACATCTTGTTTAGAAATGTGATGTGGATGTGTGAAGCAGACCCTTCCAAACAGATCTGTAGCTTTATAGTTTGGATTCAAGAAGAGGTTTGCTATGATGAACTTTAGCACGACAGATTCCAGCAGGAAGGGTGTGGAGGCTCTTCACCAAGAGAGGAAGCAGTGTTCTTCTGTAAACCACTCAGGTTGCAATACTGGGTAAAGAATAGAAGAGTATTTGAAGGGACAAAGAAGAAAGGTATGAGAAGACAGTTACCTGAAGTTCTCACTGGGGCTGCTTCAGTTTGTCTTAATCTGTTTGCTCTTATCCTGTGGTCAAATGTTGGTTTATTTGTCTTAGGTTTTGTACAGTATTAGAATACTGTGAGGGAAACGATCTGGACTTCTACCTGAAACAGCACAAATTAATGTCGGAGAAAGAGGCCCGATCCATTATCATGCAGATTGTGAATGCTTTAAAGTACTTAAATGAAATAAAACCTCCCATCATACACTATGACCTCAAACCAGGTATGTGTAACTTTCAGGAGACACTATTGTTGGCTTTTCTTTGATCTTACAGATGACTTTTAATTTTACAAAGTTAGAGAGTTTGGCGGGAGCCAAGAAGGCCTAATAACATCTGACTTTGGATTGCCTGGGTAGGTGTGGGAATAATAGAGTCCTGGCCACGCGGCACTGGGTTTAGGAGGTGAGTCGTGTTAGAGGCTCTGGAGAAACAATGCCCTTGTCTGTAGAACCAGGGCAGTTTATGATGTCAGTCCAATAAAGAACTGTTCTTTTTAAGAACCAGCTCAAGCTCTTTTTAAGAGCAAGCTCAGTTCTGTTTTCCCATTGCTCACCCTACATGGCGGTTCCTCTACTCCAAGTCTCTTTGATAAGTGCCCAGAAATCAGTGACTTTTTCTTGCACGTATGCCTCCCCTTTCATTAAATTCCAGGCAGAGTTTTTCATCTTATTGTATGGTTACTATCTCACTTTGATAGTCCTCAGCAAAGAGTAGAGGGCAGTTAGACTTCTTCCCTCTATTTTTTGTTGTTGTCATCCTCAGCTGTTTCTTAGAAGTCTGCATGTGTTCTCTGTAGACAGCTCTACCCCGCTTAGCTTGGGCATTAGGAAGATGATTCCCATTTACCGCCTGTGTGGCACAGTTGTTAAATTTGCTTTCCTCTTCTGGTAGCTACATATCAAATCTCACTATTCTTTAATGTTCTAATACATTCCAAATAACTAAAAAATTCATTACAATGAAGTGGTTTTTAAAAAGATGGCCGTTATGAGATTGGGTTCTCCGTCGCTGCGTACAAGACATTTGCCTACCGCAGGAGCTCTAGGTGGCACTGTGCTGCTAGCTTTCATTCCCTTGTATGTTTTCTGTGATTTTTTTTGTGAAAAAAACGTTATGAACGGAGTGGTTTAGAGATTCTTACTGAAAGTTCAGATGAAACTTTCCCACCATTTTTGACCAACTGTACAAGTGATATTTTACTTTGGCAAGTTATTTTTTTTCCACTGCTCATAGTGGTGGTTTTGGCACATTAAGCAGGTGATTCTTGGAAAATAGAAGTTTGCAGCCAGACACTGAGGACTCGCCCCCATCACACAGAGTCCAGATCATTTATTCCAGGGATTCAGATGTGTGTTATTGCATGCAAGAGTTTTGAGTTTAGTTGTTCCCTTCTTGTCTTTTATTGCTTTGGATATTTCTCTTAGTAAGTCTGTTTTTATTCATGAAGATTTTTATCTTTTTAGGTAATATTCTTTTAGTAAATGGTACAGCGTGTGGAGAGATAAAAATCACAGATTTTGGTCTTTCCAAGATCATGGATGATGATAGCTACAATTCTGTGGATGGCATGGAGCTGACGTCGCAAGGTGCTGGTACTTACTGGTAGGTATCTGGGGGCTCTGCCAGGTTGGCTAGTGATATGTGGCTGTGTTATACTGAAGTGTTGGTAATTTATAATTGCTATTTGTATTTTGTCTGCTTAGGCAAAAATGCTGGAAACTAAAGCAGACTTTCCTGCCCAAATAGTTACTATCTTTTCAGCAGCTTGACTCTTTGTATTTACAGTAATTTGTCTTGATTTTCCTTTTCTTTCTTGAAAACCATTGGGAAAGAGATTATGTGTGGCCAGGTGTTTGAATTCTGTGTTTCCTCCATAAGACTGGTCGTACTGGATAGGTGGAGAATAAGGTTGCTCATGGTATGTAAAGGATGGCCCTAAATTCTTTCAGTACAAACGTGGGTCTCTCTCTCCATGGGTTAGTGGGATGAGAGATTCATTTCTAGAGTTGTCTGAGGATGATGGACTCTCAAGAACTAAGGAGTTGTGAAGATCAGAATTTAGAATTACCACAGCATCTCTTACAAGCTAGATAGGAAAAAGTGAGCACAGTTTGCCAAGAAATTTATCCACCTCTGTCAGCCATGTTCTAAAAGGTTTTGAGCCACATTTCTTCCCATCTGTTGTTACTCATCTCCCCAACCATCCTACCCTGGCTAGCTCTACCTTCCTTTTCTATGATTTGTCCTGCTTTTGCCTAGTATTACTTTTGACAGAACCAAAAAAGATAACCTGTGGCTCAGGCATTTAACTTTGTGATTGTAAAGGTGTGTTAACAGAGCTTCCTTTTCACTTCTGAGAGGGTAACACAGAGCCACATGTTGGAATGTGTGATTCTGAACATGGAGAAAGTCTCCAGTAGCACTAAGGGAGGGGTAACGCGTGCTATTATATCCCAGGGTGAGTTGGTCAGATCACTTATGTTGAGGGCCCCTGGGCCTTAGCAGAATAGTGACTGCCTGGGAGTGAGGGTGTTAATCCAAAGCAGACAGAGAAGAGCGGGATGTCGTCCATAACACACAGGGTCAGCCCTGTTCTTGTCAGGCCGATCGTGTTTGTTATGTATGTTAAAGAATCAATCAAATCCTGCTAAAAACAGCATGTCCACAAAATTTCTACTTTCCTTTGCTCCTTATTGTTTGTGGAGATAGTACCTATAGTGAAAATCAGTCCCTAAATTAAAACTTAGGAGATTCTAGATTTTAAATAGAAGCTACATTTACAGTGTTTATTCACTATGGTGGTTATTGTGGGTTAGTGTTCCTGTCACTAAATGATACAAAAATATCTGCTGTTGGAAATTCTGGAAACAGGGTCTATACCTCTGCTATTTAAACTCACTGGAACTTGGATTTGAGCTTTTTGTTTGGTAGCTTGTTTTTTTTTTAAAGGTGAAGCTTTTTCACATTTAAATTAGTTATCTCGTTGCTACCTATTGCTGTATTTGCTAAGCTATAAAAATTGAGTGGTTGGAATTTAAATAAAAATTATATGATGTTTGAGATTTGCTTCAAAGTGACCTGTTTGGGGGGAGGAGGAAAGGGATGTAGATGAACAAAGGTTGGTCACATGTTGATAATTATTGAAGTTAGATGATAGATATTTGGGGGTTCATTTTACTATTCTTTGTACTTTATGTTTGAAGATTTTTTCATAATAAAAAGTAAAGTAGAGAGGGGGCTTCTGAGAAAATTTGATTTTACGGGTTTCTATGAAGGTTTTAAAAGTCTCTCTTTGGTGGAAACATTGTCATAATCACCATCCTCAATATTTCATCCTCCTATGATGTTCCAGAGAGTTACAGATAGGACATAACAGATTCTAAGTGACTGCAGTATTTGGTCATTCCAGAATTCTTCTACATTGAATACTACTTTTAAATAAGTGACTAGGCCTTGAGAATCCTTTTTCTCTGTGAGGATTTTATCATGATGGAATGTGCAACCACGTTTGTTTTTTAGAACACAGTGTGGTGTCATAGAGCTGTCTTCTACTCTCCCTCCCTGAGTCCTTGGTAGAGAATTAGAATGCTTATGATTTTCAGTATTATTTGGGTGGAGAACTAGTTTATTTCTTCATTTACAGATGGGGAAACTTAGACCTAGAAAGTGATTGCCAGACTTGTACTGTCAGGTGGCAATTTCGTTTGTATTCCAAATATTTGGCAAAATTGTTGCTCTGCATTTAGACAAGTTCAATAACTCTGTTCTTCCCCACCACCTCTACAAAAAAATTACAAATACATTAAAATGATAATTTTAGAATCAAGGTTCTGTTTATTTATCCAAGATCATATCTAAGTAATATATTGAAGAATCTAGAACCATGAAAACTAGGGCTCAGGCAGGTTTTAGTGACATTTGGAAGAGCCGTAAAAATTCTTTTTCCTGTATCTTTATTTCTTTGCCTTTTCCCCCCTCTTTTGTGAGTTCTGTGTCTATATTTTCATTTTTCAATGTGTGTTTTGGCTAAAAGTTTTCATCGTGAAATAATAACCTAGGTCAGTGGTCTTAATCATCCAAAAACGTGTGTTAAAAATAATACGTAAGGGGGCCAGCCCAGTGGCTTAGTGGTTAAGTTCGCGTGCTCTGCTTTGGCAGCGCAGGGTTCACGGGTTCGGATCCTGGGCACAGACCTAAACACTGCTCATGAAGCCCTGCTGAGACGGCGTCCCACGTACGAAGTAGAGGAAGAGTGGCATAGATGTTAGCTCAGCGACAGTCTTCCTCACCCCCCTCAAAAAAGAAGAGAAGTAAGAGACAAGAACATGAAACTAAACCTACTTAAAAAAAAAGAAGAAAGCCCATCATCTGAACATTTTCTGCTTCTCAACTCTCGTGGTCCCCTTCAGGCTATAAGTTTAGATTTTTATACCAGAAGCACAGCAGGGTGTAAAATAGTTTTTCATGGAATTGATTTTGCCAGCATGAAATCTGCAGAAATCGATTTGTTATCTTCAGAATTCTGCCTTCCAGCTGTGCTATGGCTAAGACTCTAGGCAGTGAGTGTTAGCATATTTGTTTGGTTTCCTAAATGCTAAGAGGCACTTACCTTCCACACTATACAATTTGGTGTGGTTGGCTGTCCAGCTAGTGTTTTTAGAGGCTAGGGGTGGGTGGGGAGGGAAGGAATTCAGATGAGGGTTGAGTCGTACTGAAAACTAGTTTGTTTGGCTCTTTGTGCACTTTTTCTTAGTCTTCCAGTAAGCCCCTGATCACCCTTAAAGTCAGAAATGTAAAATATACTTTGATAATTTGGACCTTAATGTCATCACTGATTATATATAGTAGTTATTTCCAGTCCACATTTCCAAAAGAGGCTACCTTAAGAAGACAGAATAGCCACCGTCCTCAGAGATTTGCACTGGGTCCTGAATTCAGATAGACTTTTAAAATATTTATTTTAGAGACATCTTCTTCAGCTAGCATGAAAGGAAACCCATACCACTTCTGGTTATATTTCAATGTTTGTTGATGCAGCCATCATAAAAGGGATTGTACTTCTTTTGTGCTTACTCCTCCTTTTTTAAACTTGTTGAATAACCCTTGCATTAGGCACAACCCTGGGAAAAGAGGCTGGGGTGGGTGAAGTAGGAACTAGGGAAAATATTTACCTCTTTCAGTAAATTGAGAAATGTATTTTCAGGCTTTAGAGGACATTACTGCCTCCTTAAGTCAGAGTATATTTTCGTTTTCTTTCTCCAGCTAGGTCTGAGTTGCTTTTTCAATTCAGATATTTTAATTTCCAACAGGGTCTTCTAATTGCCTTTTTGTATGTGTCTTAGATTTTTACAGTCATTTTTCTAAGAATTTTAATTTCTCTTTTGTCCCAGGTATTTACCACCAGAGTGTTTTGTGGTTGGGAAAGAACCACCAAAGATCTCAAATAAAGTTGATGTGTGGTCAGTGGGTGTGATCTTCTACCAGTGTCTTTATGGAAGGAAGGTAAGAAAGGAGGTCAGATGTGGTGGCTTGACTTCCTTCTTGGGTGGCACGTGGATACAGTGGCACAGTCTGGGTTAGTCTCTTGGAGTTAATCATCGGGTTATACAAAATGGAATCCTGAAAGTTGTGGTTTGAAGAAAACACAGGCTTAATAGTAAAAGCTTTATGCATAAGTGGAAATTTTCAACCCTAGTGCACATAATGAATTTTGCTGGGCTGTTGAACACATGCATTTTTTGCTGTTCTCAGTTAGATCCGGGATATGTTTTTATTCTGATAATATGTGTAGGGAATTAAATGAAATAATTGAAGTATACAATCTTCCAAGAGCCCTTCTTAAGGGTTCTAAGAACCGAAACTTGAATATGTACAGGGCTGCTTGTTCTCAACCACCCGTTAGTTAAAGCTGTGGTTAGTAAAGCGCACTTTATATTTCTGCACTGGGGAGTGGGTGTCAGAAAGTATTCATTGTCTGTTACCTCTCGTCGAGGTGATAATATAGCATTTGAACACCTAATGACTTAGGTAGTAAACTACACCTAATGAATTCTCATGTTTGTTTTTTCCTTGTGAGCATAAAACCTTATAAATATATATATTAAGATCCAATTGTGTGTTTGTATTCATGTTTCTGCTATCTGCGTTTGTATGTTTCAGTGCTCCCCATTAGGCTTTGGGTATAAGCCATGTGGCTGGTCTGCAACTCCCCTGGACTCTTAATATTTTTATTACAGTCCCTAGACCAAGCTCTTAATTCAGATTTCAGCTTCCTCTTTAACTTCTCCTTGATCTTTATTTCTTTATCCTACCTGTCTAATATGGGGAAACTATTCAGAGCTAGCAGGGGTTAATTATTATTTATACTCTGATAATGTGGAAGTGCTGCTGATAATGGTGGCAGAGTTTATCTAGAAGGAATTGTTTGTGATCTCTCAGTAGAAACACTCTAAGGATAACAGTAGACTTGAACTTATTTTTGAAGGGTTTATTAGAAAATGGCAGTTTGGGGCACAGATGAAACCACTAAGTAGCCCCAACTGTGTTTTTCCTACTCTGCTCTTAGCCTTTTACTCTTGTACCTACTTATATGTCTCTTTTTATCTGTGCCTTGGGTCTGACTGGGGCACACATACGTATTAAGCCCACAGGTATCACTCAAGGCAAAAGAGTTTGCTGGTTCCTGCCCTGAATCTTCTCTTCTTTGCTGTAAGCAAAGCTTAGCAGAGGTACTCTGATCCAGCACATGCTGCTTCTGGTCCTAGCTCTGCCATAACTTAGATATTGGACTGTGAACAAGTTACTTAAGCTCTGAGCCTTTCCACCTTTATCTGTAAAATGGGAGAATTAGAGGAGAGCATCTCCAAAGTTCCTTAAGCAGTTTTCATTGAGACACATCTTCTTTCCCTTCCCTATGGTTTTCAATTGTGTTCTCTTTCATTTTTAACCAGAGGCCCACTTTTGTTTGTTTTATTTTTATATGATAGCCTTTTGGCCATAACCAGTCCCAACAAGACATCTTACAAGAAAATACTATTCTTAAAGCTACTGAAGTGCAGTTCCCGCCAAAGCCAGTAGTAACACCTGAAGCAAAGGTAAGTTTTGACCCATTGGCCAGCAGAAATGACTGCTTTGCTTTCTGTATTATTTCTTTGGGTAACAGTGGAGGGATTATTCAATACAAAATGCAAGAGTCATTAAAAACATCCTCCTCCTTCTAAATGTGTGTTTCTCCAACCCCTACTCTCTTTCCTCCCACAACAAACATTTATGAGTGCCTGGTGAGCACAGTCACTGTTCTGGGTGGTGGAGAAGGAACTGTGAATATGTAGCAATGAACTGTACAGACAAGGCAAGGTCTCTGCCCTTAAGGAGTTTACCTTCCACTAGGTGAGACAAACAATAAATAAAAACAGATACATTCCAGACGGCGATAAGTGTTATGAAGAAAATAAACCAGAGCAAGGGGCTGGAGAGGGGGGAGCCCCCCTTTCCATGGCATGGTCAGGGAGGGCCTCAATGGCGCAGTAAGGTTTGGAGAAGTCTTGAATGAGGTGAAGGTGGGGCCACGTGTAGATTTGGGGAAGAATGTTCTGAGCACAGAGAAGTGAGTAAAGCTCAGATGTGAGTGTGAGCCTACTAGGTACACAGAGCAGGTAGAGCAGGGGACACTGGTAGGAAAGGCAGCAGGACAGATTATGTTATGGAAAGCACTGGAAGGTTTTTATCAGGGCAACTATGTGACTGCTGTTTTAAAAGCCTATACTGTCAGCTGTGTAGAAAGAAAATTCAAAGTAAAAGTTTATTTGACCTGTATCCAACCCAAGAAAACCTGTTTAACTCCTATTCCACGTGTCTCACTAAGAAAGGTTCATTTTTCAAGGCCGAGGATCAGAATGTTCATTTCTGTGAATTTGTTTTTATCTTCCAAATGTTTTAGTCAAGCAAATACCTATAGATGTCTTTGATTTTGAAAAATAGCATTGGTATCACACTTTTGTGTTTTACTAATTAAACGTGGAAAAAATAGAAAATTAATAGCTCATTTCATGTTTTAGTCTTTTTTAAATAGACTTTATTTTTTAGAGGAGTTTTAGATTCACAGCAAAACTGAGTGGAAAATATAGTGTTTCCATATACTCCCTGACCTCCCCTGCCACGCCCCCGGCCTGCACGGTCTCCCTGGGAACTGTCAACATCCCTCTCTGGCATGGTACATTAGTTACAATCAATGGACCTACACTGAGACATCATTATCACTCTAATGTAATGTATGGACTTTGGGTGATAATGGTATTTTAGATTTTTAAAAATCGATTCATTTATTTGAAATAATTATAAGACTTTGATTAAGTAGAACTCTCTGGTTAAAAAGACAGATAATCTGTTTAAGGGTCTTTGTGATAAGAGTTAGAGCAGAAACTGAGACTACACAGCCCTTCATACCTAGTGCAAAGGGAACCTCTATTTTGGTAGTAAAGTAGGATTCCACTCAAACCCCACTCACAGTATGTTTTTGTGTCTGCAGTATTCTTGGGGAGACAAGTCCTGGTCAGGTTTTCTTTTACTACTTAGGTATGTGCCTGATCGTTTGCTCACTGACCTTTCAGGGAAGAATGAGATACACAGGGAAAGCATTTACGGATCTGTGACACGTTGTAGTTTAGTCAGTGTCGGTCTCCTCACCCTGTGTCTAGTGGTAGTTTGTCATTACAATTCCCGCTTGCTCAGGAAGTTCACTTGAGGCCATGGTTTATAGGTGCAAGACCATGAAGTTAGACTGTGCCCATTGCAAACCAGCCAAAGCAAAGAGAGACGTTTGTGCTTTGGGGGCAGGGGTATTTAGTGGTCATGCCCCATTCCCCCTCAGGAATGGCTCAGCCACCTCTGTTCAGGAAGGAGTCGGTGGCCACAGAGAGGTACTGCTGCCAGTGTCTCTCCTTCCCTGATCTTCTCCGGGGCCACCTGGTGGTTTCTAGGAAAGACCCTAAGCCCCTTCTCTTTAGAAGACCTTTGCTCTAGGCCCTGGCAGCTTTTACAGAGCTTCAGGGTTCCCTCTTGGGGGTGCCAGGATTATCTGCTTCAGGCTTCTTCAAGAAACTTTCCTTTCAGGCGTTTATTCGACGATGCTTGGCCTACCGAAAGGAGGACCGCATCGATGTCCAGCAGCTGGCCTGTGACCCGTACTTGCTGCCTCACATCCGAAAGTCAGTCTCCACAAGTAGCCCTGCTGGAGCTGCTATTGCATCAACTTCTGGGGCGTCCAATAACAGTTCTTCGAATTGAGACCCACTTCTAGGCCACAAACTGTTCAACACGCACAAAGTGGACAAATGGCATTCAGCAGCGGGTTTGGAACATAGCGAATCCGAATGGATCTCATGAAACCTGTACCAGGTGCTTTTATTTTCTTGCTTTTTTCCCATCCATAGAGCATGACAGCATCGATTCTCATTGAGGAGAAACCTTGGGCAGCTCTGGCCAGGCCTCATAGGAAAAGGCCCCGCCCAAGGTTCCGGCGTCAACGGCCACTGCATGTGGCTGCTCTGAGTGAGGAAAAAATTTAAAAGAAAAACTGGTTCCATGTACTGTGAACTTGAAAACATGCAGACTCAGGGGGGTCCCTGATGCAGTGCTTCAGATGAAGAATGTGGACTTGAAAATACAGACTGGGCTAGTCCAGTGTCTATATTTAAACTTGTTCTTTTCTTTTAATAAAGTTTAGGTAACATCTCCTGAAAAGCTTGTAGCACAAAGGCTCAGCTGGGGATGGTGTTTGACTTCGGAGGAAAAAAGTTGCTATTGCCCGTTAAAGGCACTAGAGTTAGTGTTTTATCCCTAAATAATTTCAGTTTTTAAAAACATGCAGCTTCCCTCCCCCCTTTTTTATTTTTGAAAGATACATTTGGTCATAAAGTGAAACCCGTATTAGCAAGTACGTGGCAATATTCATTCCAATCAGATGCAGCTTTCTCCTCCGTCTGGTCTCCTGTTTGCAGCTGCCTCCCTCATCGCGGTAGGGAGAAAGCTGAGTGGGAGTCCTGAGATGTGTGGGGTTTCGCCATTGGACAAAGAATGAGGTGAGAAGACTGCAGCTGGGAGTCTCTCTAGGTTTTCAACTATTTCTTCACAATTTGAACACTTGACGGTTGTCCCTTTTAATTTATTTGAAGTGCTATTTTTTTAAATAAAGGTTCATCTGTCCATGTAGTCCTCTTGGATTCTCTGAATGTAGTAACCAATGGAACTGTTCCAAAGGTAGTCAGAAATGGGCTGAGGAGCTAAATGCCCTAGAGATCAGGAGTTCCTACCCACAGTCTCTGTGTGCTCGCTAATGGTGTACATTTCTTGTTAACCACGATATTAAAATGTGATCAGCACATAAGCTTTCCTCTCTTAGATCTTTTGACAGGAAACAACCTCCAATCCTCTAAATTTTGTGGGTGTGTGCTGGTGTGTGTGTCTGTGTGTGTGTATGTGCACACACGCTTTGTCTAACTTTATTTAATAGATTCATCAAGTGGAGTTTAAAAATAAGCTCAAGGGAAATAGGTATTCTAAATATGAACATTCTTTTAGAACTGATTTTTAAAAAATTTGGTTGTTTCTGAGATGTATGCTCAACTGAAGATGGAGCTGAAATGGGAGCTGTGTGGCCCCACTGTGCCCTTGAAATGGCAGAGCACTCGACAGTAGAGAGGGAAGGAGGCCAGAGCCCGAACATGTGGTAGCCAGCTTGGAATGTTACTGACATGTGGCAAGAGGGCTCAGCCAGAAATATTTAAAGATGCAGCATTCAGGCATGCAAGTTCCCTGGGCAGGGGGAGGGAAGGCAGAAAGGGTAGAAAACCTCAGCTCAGGACTCTAGTGTTTCTTTTACATGTGCCGCTGGTGACACATCTTCTAAGACCTTTGTTTGTGTTGTGGACCTGCTCCTGTCTCCCCAGTATCAGGCGACCTTAAGGGAAAATGGAGTATTCCGAATTGGAGAGAAGTTCGTGGGTAGGTATTGCCTTGTGGAACTCTGAATGGAAGGAAGTCAGCCCCAGAGCCCCTGATGCCCCAGCTTTCCTAAAGCTATTTTATTGCAGTATATATTTATACACGTGTGCATGCATGCACTTGCACACACATGCATATATGTGCATACCTGATATATATGTATGTGTGTATGTAGTACCTTTTTCTTAACCATTACTTTCAAGCTCCTAAGCAAAGAGTACCCAATGGGGTCTCACAGGTGGAGCATGACACTGAATGGATGGTGTCAGCATATGTGAAGAGATGGATGAAGTTGAGACCATGTTTAAACTTACTCAGAATATGAAGTTCTATTCCTTTTTTTCTCCCTCTCATTCAATGATCTGGCAGGAGTTTTTAAAGGAATTTTTTTAAGGTTGGAAGAATGCTGCATCTTTAAGCCTTCCCTCTGAACTTCCTGCCTCCTTCTCCCCATGGGGTTGTAAGTGAAGCTGCAGGACTTTATTTGTTGATCTACCTTTTCTGCCCTTGTCCTGCAGGAGGCATGCCCTCTCCCCTTGCTTTATTGGGTCTAGGGCCTGCTTGGAGCTGACTGGGCTTGGTTGAGTCTGGACAAGGCCTCTTTCCACTGCATGAACTAGCCTCAGAAAACATGCAGAATGCTGACCTTTTCTAGACTTTTAAGTAGCCAATGAAATCACTAAGTGGGGTTCTTCCATGACATATTTTGTTAATATGGGTTTCACTTTTTCCAAGGATAATCCCTTATTGCCACAATGTTGATTTACTTTAAACAATGACAAAAAATGTGTATGAATTTGTAACGAAACCCAGCCAGATTGTGTTGGCCTTTCCCAATTTAAGGGGTGGGGAAGATATTAAAATAAGTTTTAAGAAGTGAATTTCCCAGCCTCTTGATTTTACTCTAGTTCTCCGGCTTCAAACAGAGCCCTTACCATCTAGGGTGTAGAGAGGGGATCCTGGTAGCCGGCTGAGGCCCAGTAGATATCGCAGGCATGATGGGAATGTGTTGATTCCTGCAGCGGTTTTTGTACCTCCCATGTGCCAACAGCCATGCTCATGGGGAGGAATACAGCAGTGAACAGGAGAGGGAAGGCCCAGCCGTCAGCTCACAATCCAGGGTGAAGGCACTGGGCCCCAGGAAGGGATGGAATATGGAGGGGAGTGAGGGGAAGGAATTGGGCCCCAAATCTGCCCTTGTGAGATGGGCGGCTTTAAATGGAGAACTATCAGTGAGAGCCGCGGCTCTGCACTGCTGTGACTGACCTGGACACGCCTGCTGTCTTTGTTAGAGGGTTGCTCGCCTTCCTTCTTGTCCAGGAAGAACAGGTTCTCCTCCAGCTGAGAAGATTAGCAGTCAAGGAGCTCTTGTGTTTCTTAATTTAGAAAATAACTATCTTTAAACATAGTTATCTCCTAGAATCCTGGAGCTAGAAGCAAGCTTCAGGTCCAGCTCCCTGCTTAGGAGAAGGCGAAGTTTACAGCTAGCTTGACCCACCTTGGCGATTTTTTGCTTTCTGAGAAGATTTCCTTCCCTCCCTTACTCATTCTGATTTCTCAAGCTCTTTGTCTGTAATTAAAATCTGCCTGGAGTAAGTGAGGGAGAGACGTGGTACACAAACTAGTTGGGGTATGGGGAGTCCCTGCCTCCTAAAATTAGCTATTCTGTTTTAGTTTGTTAAGGCAGCGTCAGCCAGTGTTAAGAGTCTGGGCTTTGGAATAACGTCGTGTGCAAATCCCACCTCTGCAAGCTGCAGGGCTATCTCCTTGCGTAGTTGTAATAGGGAGCGGAAATAGGTATGTGAAGTGCCTGGCATATATGAGGTGAATCAAAAAATGTGGTTTAAGAAAGATCAAATGATCCAGTAAGTGGGATTGCTGGTCTGGAACCCCAAGTTTGCTGGTTGAGGTTCAGAGCCTTTCTCCTCGCCAGGTTGTCAGGAGATCCTTTCGCCTTGGGTAAGTAGCATAGACCTTTCAGGAGCCTTCTTCTCTGGCTTGAGATTCAGTATCAACCTTTTCCTGTGAAGTCAGCAGTCTCCTCTTACCCTGGGTCCAAGACTTCTGGCAGAGTCTGGGAGGAGCATCTTTTAGGCCAGTGTGTCCCCGAGGCCAGCAGCAGCAGCATCACCTGGGAACCTGTTAGAAATGAATGTTCTCAGGCCTCCCCAGCACTGTTAATCTGTCTCCCAGATGGCATGAGCACTGAAAGTCACAAGTCCTGCTGACTGACATTCCTGTCAGGTACTGCAGTAAGGGTGGGGCAGTTGGAGAGAGTATCTGTCAGGCCTTGTCGAAAGTCACCCAGCTGGAAGACGGAGGTGACTGTTTGATTATTGTGTTAGGATTAAAAATGTATCTTACTAGGCCTGATGTCATACATGTGCTCTTCTATGGGGAGCCCCAGGAGGGGCCCTACAACACATCCCTTAGACAGGTGCCTTGGGACCTAACAATACACTCAAGAATCATTCACTCCTTTGGGCAAAGCTTCTTACTTTTGGCCTTCTCTTAAAATATATAACTCACCAGTACCTTCTTGCAAATTACTTTATCCCATTTTTCTTTGACCTGAGGGGCACAGGGCTGTAGGAGAGGGCTGGGACTTGGCCTGGACTGCAGGTCTTTGGAAGGGGTGGGGGAGAAGAGAGTGTAGAGAGGTTGCAGGGGGAGGAGGAGGGTTAAGGAGGGAGTGGTTAGGGACTCTGGCTGCTGCTGAGCTCTGCTGGTGGGTTGGGGGAACCTGCCAGAGGCTGGGAAAACAGTCAGGCCTGGGAGCAGGTCTGGGACCTGGGGGGGGGCAGGGTATACAAGAGCCCTATTGTGCTGGGGGAGCTCTGCAGGGGCCAGAGACAGGCTGGAGTCAGTGAAGGGGTGTGTGTGTGTGAGGCACTGGGCAAGGGACCCCGTGGTGTGAAGGGGTCAGAGAGCAGCTTGCTGGCTGACTTGGCTCCACCCACCTCTGGCCACTGGTTGGGCCTCCTGGGTGTGGAGGGAAGTGCCCAGCTGGAGAACTGTGGTAACCTCAGCTCCGTTAGCCTCCAGGCGTAGTCTGCAACTGTGGTAGCCTCCTGTGCTGTCCAACCTTTTCACCCTTGGGGGGGGTGGGCGGAGAGGGCAATATCAGCAAAGGGAAGGGGCTCTGGCACTGCTGCTGTGCAGAGAAGTTTCTCAGCTGTTTGGCTTCACAGCCAGGCTTAGGCAAGGGAGGAGTGTTTGACAGATGAGGAAACTGAGGCCCACAGAGATTTGGTGACTGGCACGCAGGATCAAATGGAGAAGGACTGCAGGCTTGAAAATTTAGTGAGCTGGATTTTCTGAGTGCCATCCTTGGGCAGAGACTGCTGTGGGCGAAGGCTGCACCTCGGCTCCCAGCATATCTTGTCCTAGTCTAGGCCTCCAGTCCCCCAGGCTCCCTTCACTCTGTCTCACCCTCCTCATGGCTAGCCCTTAGAAATCTACTTGGAGACCGAGCTGGTGTAGTCCTAGGCTGGAACTGAACTTAGGTGGGAAAATAGGGGGCATCGCTTTACAGAACATTTGTGCTTCAGATTCCCCAAGCTATCTGATCTTGTCGTCTTGCTTTATAGATGAGGAAGCAAAAATCCTGCCCTGACCCAGCCTTGGGCAACTCTCTTATCTTCCCATTCCTGTGTCCTAATTGACAGCAGGAATCAGACCCTCTGCCTTGACTTCCTTATGGTCACTGTAAGTTTGAAGGGGGTGGGAGACATAAAGCTGTTTCAGCAAATAAAAAGTAAAAAGAAGTCTTGTTAGATGCCTCCTCGGTGTCACAGGGGCCCCTGGAGAGATGTCTGCAGGACATAGAAGGCCCCCCAGTGTAGGCCTTGGCTTGTTCCTGGAAGGAAGCCAGTCCTGGAGTCAGACCCGAGCCCTGTGCCCTAAAAGAAGAGCATGCTGCTGAGAAGCATGAAAAGGAAGGTCTCTTTCCCTACAAGGTAATTTCAAGAGCCATTGCTTCTTTGCGCCTATAGACTTTCAGAGCCCTACCCACAGAGGGGCCGGCCCCATGGCCGAGTGGTTAAGTTCACGCACTCCACTTGGGCGGCCCAGGGTTTCACTGGTTCAGATCCGGGGTGTGGACATGGCACCGCTCACTAAGCCATGCTGAGGTGGCATCCCACATGCCACAACTAGAAGGACCCACAACTAAAAATATACAACTATGTACCGGGGGGCTTTGGGGAGAAAAAGGAAATAAATAAAATCTTTAAAAAAAAAAAAAAGAATCCTACCCACAACCTTAACACTAACCCTGCTCCTCAGCCCATGTTAACTAGACAAAACCGTGCCCAGTTTTGGAATCTGGTAGAACAAGGTGTTGGGAGAGCCCCTGGTGAGGACTACATTCAGGTCACAACTCTAAACTTGCTGTGTGACCTCGGACCGGGCACTCATACTCTGAGCCACATCTATAAACTTCATGCATCCACTCAAAATACAAAGGAGGTTACCAGTTAGAAGCTTTAAGTAAGGTTATTATTTAGAAGCTAAATGTAACAAATGTTAGCTGGGAGCTGATAAATTCTGTAACAGCGAGAGGAGGTCCCTGGGGATTTGGGAGATGATGTTGAGCTGGGCTTTCAAAGATGGGCATAGTTTGCAGCAACAGGTCCCTTGCACTTTCTGTACTCTTCCCATATAGAACGCTGGTCACACCAAGACCTCTCCATGCCCTCTCACACCTCCAGGCCATGGCCATCTGACTGTCTTTGAAAACTTGAGTGTCACCTGCAGCCTTCCTTCCTTTGGACTCACAGCACCTGTACGTCTCTCCCTTACTTCCCTGACTTGTCACATGTGTGCACACTTGGCACCACAAGAGCTGGCCCCTTGGTAAGCTCAGGGCCCGGGTAAAGGAATGACGGTAGTTTGGCCTGCTGAAGCATGGTGCCCAGAAGGGGCAGTAGGGCTGGACAGGTGGTGCTGAGGGACCTTAGATGTGAGAATGAGGAGGAGGCTGGGACAGTGTGTTAGACACAGGTCTTTGGTCAGGGAGTGAACAGATCGGGGCTGGGCATCGACAGCCGTGGAGCCTGTATAGCTGGTTCCCGGTCCTCAACAGCAGTATTTTTCAAATTTGTTTGATGGCAACAGTAAAAAACACTTAACATCTCAATCCAATACATATTTCACAGAACAGAACCTAGTTCACATGCAGTGCACTTTGATGTTTACGGTTTTACTTCAATTTTAAAATGCTGGTCACCACCCACTGGTGCCCTAGGCCACTTCTTGCTGCTTCACTGGGTGCTGGTCTGTCCTGCCTCCTAGAGCTGGAGTGACGGTGGTGGGTCAGCTAGATGGAGCCACCTGGCTCCTGTCCTGGTCAGGGGTTCTATTCCACTAGGGGCTTCAGGTGGGAAGGCTGGATCAGGGGAGCTTCCACCTCTGCAGAGCGACCTCCCACCTGTTCTGCCTCCAGGCTGGGGTCAGTGAGAGCCACAGAAGGCTCTTGGCAGGGGCTAGGCCCAGCTTTGCTTTGGAGGGTCAAGTACTGAGACTAGAGAGACTTCATACTGCTTGTCCTTCCTGAGCTGGGGAGAGGGAGACAGGGACCAGGAAGCAGCCTAAGATGACATCTTGAAGAGAGAGGAAGATGCAGAAGCTGCCAGCCCAGCCAGAGCTGTGGACCAGAGTAGGCCTCGACTCCCGGCTCAACCTCATCCTCAGTGCAAGGACAGATTCAGAAGAACTGCAGCTCCAAGTTGGGAGAGGCCCCTGAAGGGCAGACAGGGTGATGTGACAGCCCTCTCCCCCTGTGCCAGCACCAGCTGGGTAGGGCAGTAGAAGGTTCTGGGAACTATATCCCACCAACCAACTGCAGCTAGTTCTTCTGCTTGGCTCTGTGGTCCGGTCC